CAGATTTTGATACTTTGTTTTTATGAAGTTGACATTATTCCAATAATTATTCTTGATAAAACTAGAATTCTCTCGCGGTACCCCAGTTGAAAAAACGTTGTACAAGGTGGTCAAAATTTAAGGAGGCAGATTGACCAGGCCGTTATTTCAGCCGAGAATCATCCTGAAAATCAACAGGACAGTGAGTTGTATAATTTCGCGCTTGCTCAGACCGATACTTTGCCTGGCCCTCCGTCCTGCTTTTGAAAGCTCACTAATAATTGACATAACGTTTTGTCCTCCCCCTTCTAGGCACAAAATGAAACGTAGCCCTCTTCTGTAAGGCTTGTTATCGTATCTTATAAATGTGGAGCAACAAAAATGTGTTATTCATTTTATTTACCATACAAAAAGTTTTCAATAATAGTGTAAAAATTGAAAAATAAGAAAAAATTTGCTCTCCACAATGTATATACTGTACATACGGTAGATGTTTATAAACTAGTTGGAAATTTGGAATGGTATCATAATGTTCTTTCTTTATTTGTCTGTATAATAATAATAATAATAACAGTGGGTTCTTGTATAGTGCTCAGGTCTGTTATACGTGACACTCTTGGCGCTCCCAATTATTACCCTGGCTTTAGCACGGCTGCCATACTGCGCTCTAGCATTTCAAGTAGTGCTGTAACATCACGGATATCTCCAATTCCGTTTAACCGCCTGTCAAAACCGGACGGTTTTCGGTTAAACGATTTATTTAAAAAAAAAAAAAAAAAAAAAAAAAAAAAAAAATCGTTTTTTTTTTTTTTTTTTTTTTTTTTTTTTGCCGTGTGAAAAAGCAGGAAGGTGATTTAACTGAAGGCGCCGATTTGCTCTTGTGAACTAGTCACAAATAATAGTAACAATGTCGTTTTAGAATAATGTGTAAGATCATTAAAGTAAATTAAAAACAGTAGAGGACCTAGGATAGAACCTTGTGGTACACCATGTGTTAAACTTGGATGAATATATATTGAGATCTATTACAAAGATTACTTTCAAACCAAGATGACAGACAAATTGGAGTGTTGTTCTAATTTCCAAGTGGTAAGTCATCACACCGATTACTGAGCTGGGAGACATTGCCAGGCATAGTGCCAGGTGGAGGGGCATAAATCGAAACTTAAAAAAAAAAAATTATTAAAAAAAAAAAAAAAAAAAAAATATTAAAAAAAAAAAAATATTAAAAAAAAAACAAAAAAAAAAAAAAAAACGGGAAAACGAAACCGTCCAATTGAAAACGGAATCCGCCATGGGCGGTCGGATACCGGACGGTTAAACGTTTGACTACAGCACTAATTTCAAGGAATTAATTCCTGCCAGGTACCCATTTACATCACTTGGGCTGAGTGTGGCAAATGTAGATCAATGTCTTGCTAAGGGACATTAGTGCTGCGGCGGGACTTGAACCGCGGACCTTGTGATCGACAGTTTGGTGATATATCCACTCGACCACGATGCCTCTATACATCCATAAGTCTTGACTCTCGACAGTACTTGAAGACCATCATGTTATGCATATTTCGAATCCCGTAATTCTTGACAATATCACATTCAAATGAATGTACAGTCCAATCTGCTTTAATAATAATATTGGATTCTTATATAGCGCACGTATCGACCTTGCAAGGTCCTCAAGGCGCTCCAACATTACCCGGCTATGCTAGGCTGCCGATTTCAACGCTCACAGTATTTTAAGGAATTCCTTCTTACCGGTACCCATTTAACACCTGGGTGGAGAGTGGCAAATGTAGATCAATGTCTTGCCAAAGGACATAAGTGCCGCGGCGGGACTCAAACTGCTGACCTTGTGATTGACAGTCCGGCGACGTATCCACTCATACACGACACCTTTAGTGACCACCTGTCTACAATTTTTGTTTCCCTTGGGCGGTCGCTGTAGACAGGTTTGACTGTATGTGTAATCTCTTGGTTTCATTTATTTATACAGCAGTCAAAGAACAGCAAGGTTAAACCGGGATTCATCAAGGCTAAACCAGGATCCAGCAAGGCCAAGTCTTCCAAGTAAGTATTCCTATAAATAAAAAAAAATCAATGGGGAAACTCCATGGTATTTTTTCCTCTTATGTCACCAACCACGTGTAAAATAGTAGTGTATCTGATCATTTGCATACGGTAAAAGAAAATCTACTATCGGTAGCAAATTGCTATGAAAACAAAGCAGATACATTTGAGAAGCAGATTGGTGAAAGTTTGAATGGAATCGGACATTTGGTAGAAAAAGTTATGACTTTGAAAAATGAAATCACTATACCGGTACGCATGTAAGGGAATATACAATTGGCTGAATTCAGTAATATCACTGTGATGTAGTGGCAGTTAAGTCTCTCATTAGATGCTGCTTGTAAGTATCGGCTTGCATGGTGATGTCGATATATGGTAGGCTTGCGGGTGCACCATGTGAGAGAGAGAGAGGATTGAAGGGTCCTGAAAAGGACTCTCTGTAATCTTTCTTGAGGGTGAGTAGTCCTGAAAAGGACTGTTGGTGTAGTCTTGATTATCTTTCTTAGCTTATAGTTCTAAGGAGAACTATAGCGCTTGGAGAGGATACATGTACACTACTGCCTAAAGGTTTTGGCAGCGGGCTGCGGGCGCGGGCAAGCTACCCGCGGGTCGCGTATTTTTTTTGAGTGTCAATTGCCAAAAATGTGAGCAAGTTCGGGCAGATTTCGGGCAGATTTCGGGCAGATTTCGGGTAGATTTCGGGCAGATTTCGGGCAGCTGAATTGAACGCACGCGCGGAATTTGGGGGAGCGCCCGAACTTCGGGAAGTTCCCTAACTTCGAGCTGCTTTGTTTACTTTGTTGCTATGCGCCGTTGCTTTGCGCGCAATGTCTGTGAAAAAATGCGCATCTGCGTGGAATGCTAGTGCTACGCGGCTTTGTGATGTCATAATGGTTATCTCCAAACGTCACAATAGTCACTCTAACTCGATGTTTTTGTCAAGAAAACAACCATTAAACAGATTTAATTAACATGCGGTGAACGTCTGCCGAGTTGGCGTTCTCGAACTCATGTCATTTTGTCCAAGTTAAAATAAACACGATGGAAGGACATAGCTAAAAAATTAAATCAATTTACAATTTAAGTATTTAGTGTTGAAGTATTATCACTTATTTTGGTACAGTTGTCGCCTAACTTTTTTGTCAACTGCGGACTACCGCAGATTTTTTTCTTCTCCAGGCGGCTAATTACAAAATAGACAAAATTAACTGTCTGGTACGAGGATAAATGCTTCGATAAAACCAGGGAGGTGACCCACACGCATCCGGTAACCCTTGCTTCACACGCAAAGGGGGATTGACTGGCGATTTTTACCGGAATCTGGCGAACAGTTTGCCTTTGCTTTTCTTCATCTGGAATCAACCGAAAATATCAAAACATCCAAATAATTATAAAGACTTACTTCAGGGTTCGTACACATACACATTTTAAAAATTCCATGACTTTTCATGACTTTCCAGAGCAGGATAATGTAAATTTCCATGACCATTTTCAATGATGAACATGTCTTAATTTAAAGCGTACAACTATACATCATCGCAATACTAGAAAGCAAATCAAAAAACTATAAGGCGCACCCCTATTTCGAAGATCCCCCCCCCCCCCCCCAAAAAAAAAAAAAAAAAATCAGAAAAAAAAAAATCTGGAAAAAAAAATCTGTCATCTTTAGTTTAAAAAAAAACATTGTTAGTTGTTACTAGACCTAGGTCTAACTTAGTTCACAAGCACTTCAACTGTGCCTCGTATAATGAAAAGTCAAAGTATTTTTCGAACACTGAAATAAGACGCGATCTGATGTGGTTAACAAAAAGCCACCAAAAAAAAGCCAACATTGGTCTTTTTGTTAACATCAGATCGGCTCTTATTTCAGTGACAGTGTTAAAAAATACTTTCATTTTATTACGAGGCACGGTTGAAGTGCTTGTGAACTGAGTTAGACCCAGTAACAATGTTGTTTTTAAAACTAAAGATGACAGAATTTTCCTCAGAGTCCAAACAGAAATGTGGACAGGCTAGTTTTCGTGTGGTGATTCGTTATCTCTTGTGTGAGCTGCATCATACAGGTGAGTGAGCTGAAGACACGGTAGAGCTTCGGCCGGCAAAGTGCCTTGTGACAGGGCATAATTTATCGAGACTGAAAACAAAAACTGAAAAAACCCACTCTTCCTTTCAAATTAGGAACGTAGTTTAACTTCAAATAGTATATCCTATTCTTTATTGCATTATGTAATTCATGTTGAGACACAGAGATTTTTGAAAACCACTAAAAAGTAGCATTTGAGGACTCAAATATCCTGTTCCTGACTATTTAAGGCGCACTCCCGACTTTCGATATTTTGCTGACGGAAAAAAGGTGTGCCTTAATTGCGGACGTTAGGGAAAGCAGCAACCACGAGGCTAGGCTAGTTAACTACTGGCTGTATGCTCGTGCTCGCACCATGGACGCCAAATGTGGAATCAAATGCGATTCAGGGTTGCGATATTCGAGTAAAGAGCAACACAATTTTTAAAGGGGTTCTTAAGAAAACACGAGTGGCTCATGATGCATAGTTATTTACATTTAAATTATTGTTTTATGAATATTCTGTGGCCGCTCGCGTGGCCCCTGTCAAATTCCACCAGCCTTCAGCATGGACCTACTACGAACCATCATGACGACAGAGAAAGTGCATGTTACGCAATGTTTACGCCTTTTCTGTTCTTTCTACAAACCGCAGCGGCATGCATGTCTGAAGTGAGAGGGCAACTTCACGAAACAAAGCTTTAGTAAACAAATCAAATTTCTAAAGGGAACCGCTTTGTGTGGAAAAGGAAAGTTATTGCCCAGTCACTGAAGAGATGTTGAGTTGTTCTGATGCTGGATGATACCGATTTATCGATGGTGACCGTAGTGATGATGATGGTGATGATATTGATGGACGATGATGAAAATGCTGGCTGTATGTATTGATGGCTGTTGGGGACACTGTGACGATAAATAATCAAGCAGGACACAAAGTTCTAAACCCAGTATGAGACCACGCTGTCAAGATACTTCAGCACGTATCAGCACGGTTCAATCTGTAATTGAACAAAACAAATAAAGGAAACATCCAATCAATACTGGAATACATGTACACATGCTTATCAATGACATTATTGTTACAATAATTATCCATCTTGTCTGGTCTCAATCAATAAATGCATAACTGAATATGAATTAACTTGTTTGTGTCAATTATTTGTGTCATATCCAAAAACCTCTCCTGAAACAATATCTGATCTTAAATACAATTATTTGATACAAAAGGCTTGCTTGCTTCTATCCTAGCACTGACTTTCAAATATGTAAACAATAACCGGTCAAAGCAATGCTCTCAAAACCCTAATTTCACAACACAAGGCCCAAGTTTAGCTTAGCAAAATACCGTAAACAATGTATTCAAAGCCTAACTTTTATCTCCCTAAATGAGACATTTATTTATTATTCATCACTAATAACCAGCTTGAACATTTATATCAACCTTGTAAGAAATAATATGCTTCAGCTATCATACAGCCTTATTTATCATGGCTCACTTCATAATCTGTCAACAAAAGAGGCGTGACTACTTCCGGTCACTAAACGTGTACAGTGCATGCATGCATTACTTGCACGTATTATGTATACCACTGCTACATTACGTACTTCAATACAAATCTTTCGCAACAAATTTACATCACTAACCATCAACATAATTAATAGAAATTATCACTGATTATCATTCAACAACTCTTTAAAGGAATAGCAATGTAATTGTCTACTTACAACGTTGGGCTCATCAAAAAGAATTAATTTATCATCACAACCTCACGGTCGTCAGACCGTTCCAAACAAGAAAAATCAGTGGCATGCGAAGAAACGCCCTCAATAGTCAAATACATGTCAATTCCCCAAAAAGCCTCGTCTATGACGTCAGCATTTCCCGACTTATCGTTACATGATTTTATCAAACACAGGAGAAAACTTCCTGTCAGTAACATACCGGCCCCTTAAATGTGAGCTAAAAGCAATCATTTATAACATCATATATCAAAAGGAATATTTTGACAATTTAAATGCTCTGTTACACATAACTGTCTTTACTTGTACCTGAAACACATTATCAATATGTTAATTTGCTTGCAGTAAATGTGTATATACTGGAAGACAACACAGATCTAAAGAAAATTCCATATTCTCAGATATTTTACTCCTAAGAATCCCATAGTTTAGCAATTTCTTGCAATGTCAGAAAACATCAATATTGATAAATTCTCATCTCCTTTTTAAATAATCTCCCTCTTTAGAAAGTAAATCTCTGCACAAAATGCAATTGCATGATAAAATAGTGATTTCTATCTTGAAAACAACCTATTAAATAATGTTAATACATGTATATAAAACAAACATCACAACAATATACATGCACATCGATACATAAATTTGATATTGATGTGTTGTCTGTACGAAAAAGAGTCCAATAAGGCTCCTGTTGCTAAGCAACCAGTCCACTAGCCTGCTATACAGGTGAATACTTGAAATGTCCTTTTTCAGAGTAATAAATGAGTCCACTCTATGCAGAATTATTAGTCCTTTCAAATAACAGTCCATGGTGTAAACTGTACTTTGATTTCTCTGTTCATTTGTCAAAATGTCTATTCATCTTGAAATGTCTCTCTATCGAAGTTCAGTTCTGTCAAATAGAGTGCTCTAAGAAACAAACACAGGGGTAAAACTTGTACCTATCTGGGGATAGAATATACCTATCTATGATTCACTGATTCCAAAAGACACAGCTTATGAATTGGCCTAACAAGGGTCGATGATTTGGTTTGCACCCTAACTGACCTAACTAGCCCATCCTTGCCTGGGAAAATCTCTACAACGCGACCGACAGCCCAGTGGTTTCGTGGTGCTTCTTCCATGATGTGAACGATGTCACCCACGCTAACATCACGCTCACGCTCGTTCCACCTTTGTCGCGCTTGGAGTGTAGGAAGATACTCTTTCCTCCATCTCTGCCAGAAAATGTCACTAAGGTACTGAACCTGTCTCCATCGTCGCCTGCTATACACATCTCGTGCCTCGAAGAGGTCAGGCGGCCCAGTACCATTACCCCGCAGCAGGAGCAAATGATTCGGAGTGAGGGGTTCTGGATCCACCGCATCATCCGACACTACCGTCAGAGGGCGCCCGTTGATGATGGACTCCACCTTACACATCAGCGTTGATAAGTTCTCGTCAGACAGCACTTGCTGTCTCATCAAGGCACCGAGCACCTTCTTCGTCGTTCTTATCTGGCGTTCCCAACATCCACCCATGTGCGAGGCCGCTGGTGGGTTAAACCTCCATTCAATGCCTTTCTGGAGTAGATGGTCATGAATTCTCTGCTGGTTCCATCTACTTAACCCCTCTCGCAGCTCTCTCTCTGCTCCGACGAAATTTGTGCCGTTGTCAGATCTGATGAGCTCTGGTCTTCCACGGCGAGCCATGAATCGATGAAGAGCGTTCAGAAATGAATCAGTGTCCATAGAATGCAAGATCTCTATGTGCACGGCTCTCACACATAGGCAAGTGAAGATACAGCCATATCTCTTCACTTGGCTTCTGCCCTGTTTGACAAGATAAGGGCCAAAGCAGTCCACTCCAACATTAGTAAATGGTGGCTTGTCAAACGCCACACGATCACTAGGTAAATCAGCCATCTTCTGCCCGAGAGTTGGAGACGACAGGCGTTTACACTTAAAACAGTCCCGTTCACCTGTCGCACAGTAGACCTCCCTCTGATCAACCAGAATCGCTGCCTCAGCATCGATAGGACATGCTCTCTGCCTAAATGTCCCATGTCATGAACATGTCTCACTAACAGTGTTACCACGTGATGCTTGGGTGGTAAGATGATGGGATGCTTCATCTCGTCACTCAGCTCTGCATTCCTAAGGCGGCCTCCAACACACAGCAACCCAGTTCTGCTCATCATAGGGTCTAACTTATAGAGAGGGCTGGACTTCTTCAACTTACTAGCCCTCTGCTTTCCATTCAAGGCTGGCTTCTCCTCAATTGCCTGGTATTCAGCTGGGTATGCCAGGCGCTGAACATATTTCAGGATTGCCTGCTCAGCCTCTCTCATGTCATCCACTGTAAGAAGCACCTTACAGTCAAATACCTTCTTCCGCACCTTGCACAGAAGATATTCCCGAAACTGCAAGATTCTAGCTACTGCCTTCTTTAGTTTGCACCAATCTGAAAAGTAGCTCAACAGTTCATCAGTAGCCGCAATTGGTACATCAACATCAGTCTCAGCGGCATAAGCCTTCACAGTTTTTACTTCAGGATCATCGTTTAGTAGGATATCATCAGCTTCTGGATCTTGGCTCTGCTGCTCTTCAGTCAACAGGATGAATTTTGGCCCATGAAGCCATCTCTCACTAGCCACGAGATCCCTAGCACTCATGCCTCTACTGACGTCATCAGCCGGATTCTCTTTCGTGTTGACATGATGCCACTGCTTTACATCACTGGCAGAGTGAATCATAGACAGTCTATTGGCAATAAAGGTGTGAAACCTTTTGTCTTCATTCTTAATGTATGCCAATACAATCATGCTGTCAGTCCAGAACACAGAGTCCTTTAGTGGTAGATCCAGTTCTCTCCTCACTAAGACATCTGACTTCACCGCAACAGTAGCAGCCATCAATTCGAGACGAGGAATCGTAGTCTTCTTCACTGGAGCGAGGCGAGACTTGGCAAAGACAAGACTGCTACAGACTTGCCCTTTAGAGTTCCTTACCACCAGGTATGTCACCGCTCCATAGGCATCTTCGGATGCATCAGCAAAGTGATGTAACTGATGCTCTGTCTTGGCACCATATCCTGCAGGAACCACACATCTAGGCACCTTGAAGTTTTCTACTTCAGGAAGTTGCTTTACCCACTGCCGCCATAACTGCAGTCCAACATCTGGAATTGGGTCATCCCATCCTAACTTCTTTGTTGCTAACTTCTGCATCAACAGCTTAGCTCTCAAGATAAAGGGACTCAGGTAGCCAAGCGGGTCATAAATGCTTGACACAATGCTAAGCAAACCCTTCTTGTCAGTGGTTTCTCCTTTATCAATGTCTTGTACTCTAGACGGTCCTCTTGCACATCCCATTTGATCCCCAGGGCTCTTTCAACTGGTAGTGCTTCCTTGCTAAGATCTAAGTCCTTAACTTGTTTACTTCTATCCTCCACTGGGATGGCTTCCACAACTTTGCGGTTGTTACTTGTCCACTTGATCAGGTTAAAGCCTCCCTTCTCTAGCAGGCTTTTCAATTCTTGTGCTAGTCGTATGGCATCTTCCTCATCCTTAGTGGAGATTAAGCAGTCGTCCACATAGAAATTCCTAGTCACTGCCTTTACTGCTTCAGGAGAGAATTCACCCTTGTTGTCTTCAGCTGTGCGTCGTAAGGCATAGCTACAGCAGCTGGGACTCCAAGTCCCACCGAATAAGTGCACACACATTCTGTAGACACATGGATCTTCCTTCAAGTCACCTGTTGGCCACCATAAGAATCTCAGTACATCTCGGTCTGGCGCTGGCACACGAACTTGATGAAACATCGCTTCAATGTCTGCCATCAAAGCCACTGGCGCAGTTCTAAACCTCAACAGCACTCCGATCAGCTTGTTAGTCAGATCTGGTCCCTGATTAACCACATCATTCAGTGACAAACCTTTCCATGCTGATGCACAATCGAAGACTATTCTCACTTTTCCCGGTTTCTGGGGATGGAATACCGGGTGATGTGGCAAATACCATTCGCATTCCTTCTTACTGTCAAGTTCATTGATCTCCTCTGCATATCCCTTCTTCAAAAGGTCTGCCATGCCATCTGTATACTTCTGAAGGAGACCATCACTCTGACTAAGCTTTCTTCCAAGACTTTGGAGTCTCCTTTCAGCCAACCATCGGTTATTCTGGAGATCTGGAGGTCTCTTCTTGAACGGGATAGGGAGCTGATAATGACCTTCCTCTATGCAGATGCCCTGCTCCCACTCTGCCAAGGCCTTGACATCATTCCTTGACATAGCTCTCTCTTCCTTGTAAGGATCAGGGGTCTCAAGCTTCCAGAACCTCTCTAACTGTCTCTCGAGGCACAGATCTCCTTCGATGAAGGTGTTCGTAGCATACACTGGAGTGTTCATTTCACATGCTCGGCTGAGCGGACCATGGAGTGACCACCCAAGGCACGTCCTTACTGCGTATGGTCCTTTCTCTCCATGTCTAACCTCTAGAGGCATCAGAGCTTCTGGGACGTCTTGACCGATGACCAATCCCACCTCATCTTCAGTGGCCACAGGGATGTCAATCCCTCTTAGGTGGGTCAGTCCTTTGATGTCATCGACTGTGGCCATGTGTACACCCTTGACGTTGATATTTTCCTTTGTGTACACACATAACATCTTGATCTGCTTGCTGTTATCTCCGGAGTCCACAACCAAACTGACGGCTTCAGTGTGGACAGTACTTTCTTTACGATCAAGGGTCGTTAGTAGAAGCTTCCCTTTGACTCCCTTAGCACCGAGTGACCTTGCTAAACTTGCTGAACAAAATGTACTTGTTGACCCTTGGTCCAGCAATGCATATGTCCACAGCATAACTTGGCAGCCTTCTGCCTTCACCCTCACAGGCACTATAGGGAGCACACTTTTCCTGCCGGCCCCTGTGGAACTACAGGAGGCTTCTTGCTCCACATTTCTATTTTGTGTGCCGCCATCAGGTTCTGTCATATGGAGAAGCTTATTGTGCTTCCTTGTGCAACCATCTACTGAGCAAGTCCTCTTGCTACTACATGCTCCTATCATATGACCTCGTCTCAGACAGTTAAAACACAGTCCCTTATTCCTTGCTAACCGCATTCTATCCTTAGGAGGCAAGTCCTTAAACTGCTTACAATCCCACAGTCTATGGTTACCCTTGCACTGGAAACACTCTACATGTAGTTCAACAGGCTTTGCAGTGGAAGATGTAGAGAAGGAGCCCTTTGACTTCCCACTTCGAGAAGGCGTGCGTTGCTCACTCTGACCAGACATCAGCTCTCCATACACCGGGTCATTAACTTCCTGCGCAGCCTCCTGCACAAAGTACATAAGATCTTCAAATCTTGGGATTCTCTCCTGGCGCCGAATCGCTCCAACTCTGCTCAGCCACTTCCCTTTTAAATGGAAAGGCAGTCTCTCCGCCAGTGGGAGAAGCACTTTCTGAGGGGAGAGTTCCTGTTCGAATCCCATTGCTTGAAATGACATAAGGCAGACACTCATGTCATCTGCCAGCTCTCTTAGACCTTTCTTGTCACGAGGGCCAATCTGCTTCCCAGATGTTATCTTCTTCATCCAGGAGTCTGTGATGACAACTGGGTCTCCAAATCTTTCAATCAGAAGTCGCTTTGCTGTTGAATATCCTTGTGATGCGTTCATTAATAAGCAAGGACTCAAACGTCTCTTAGGTTCCCCTCGACAATAGTATAAGAGGCGAGTTAGCTTCGTCCTATCTCCGCACGAACTAGAGTCAATGTTGTCCTCGAAACTCCGCCAGAACTCCCAAAATTCTAGGGGATTTCCGTCATAAGGCGTCAACTCGGCCTTAGGCAGCTGCATCACCTCCCAAAGACGGCGTTGCTCCTGTTGTCCTTCCTTCAGTAGGGTGACTACATCTGAATCATCACTCATGGTCAGCGGTTGTCCATGGTCAGACCTATCTGCTGTGATAGGCTTACACTTCGTAGACTTAGTAGGAACAACAGTCTCTGTCACCACCTTGCCAGGAGTGTATGGTAAGGTTTCATCCTGTTCTTTCTCAGGAAAGCTTATTCCTAACTTCTTATTCTCAAACTCTAGGTATATCTGTTCTTCTGCTTCTGCAACCCTGAGCTTCGTCTGCATCGATAATCTCAACTTACGCTGCGTTAGTTGAAATTCCTCAAGTTCTAGCTGTTGGCGTTCTTCTATAGCAGCTGCTTCAGCTGCTAGGGCTGCCTTTCTGGACATAGCTTTCAACATGGCTGACGAAGCAGAGCTAGTATGGCTGACACACTGACTCACCGAGTCTTCAGGATTCACCTCCAACACTTTTTCCTGTTTCTTTTCCTGGTTTTCATCTTCCTGTCTGACCTCAGACTGCCCACCAGCAGCTTGAAGTTGACCTGCTGCATTCATCCTGATGAAGCGTTATTGAACTTGATGTTGGGGACACTGTGACGATAAATAATCAAGCAGGACACAAAGTTCTAAACCCAGTATGAGACCACGCTGTCAAGATACTTCAGCACGTATCAGCACGGTTCAATCTGTAATTGAACAAAACAAATAAAGGAAACATCCAATCAATACTGGAATACATGTACACATGCTTATCAATGACATTATTGTTACAATAATTATCCATCTTGTCTGGTCTCAATCAATAAATGCATAACTGAATATGAATTAACTTGTTTGTGTCAATTATTTGTGTCATATCCAAAAACCTCTCCTGAAACAATATCTGATCTTAAATACAATTATTTGATACAAAAGGCTTGCTTGCTTCTATCCTAGCACTGACTTTCAAATATGTAAACAATAACCGGTCAAAGCAATGCTCTCAAAACCCTAATTTCACAACACAAGGCCCAAGTTTAGCTTAGCAAAATACCGTAAACAATGTATTCAAAGCCTAACTTTTATCTCCCTAAATGAGACATTTATTTATTATTCATCACTAATAACCAGCTTGAACATTTATATCAACCTTGTAAGAAATAATATGCTTCAGCTATCATACAGCCTTATTTATCATGGCTCACTTCATAATCTGTCAACAAAAGAGGCGTGACTACTTCCGGTCACTAAACGTGTACAGTGCATGCATGCATTACTTGCACGTATTATGTATACCACTGCTACATTACGTACTTCAATACAAATCTTTCGCAACAAATTTACATCACTAACCATCAACATAATTAATAGAAATTATCACTGATTATCATTCAACAACTCTTTAAAGGAATAGCAATGTAATTGTCTACTTACAACGTTGGGCTCATCAAAAAGAATTAATTTATCATCACAACCTCACGGTCGTCAGACCGTTCCAAACAAGAAAAATCAGTGGCATGCGAAGAAACGCCCTCAATAGTCAAATACATGTCAATTCCCCAAAAAGCCTCGTCTATGACGTCAGCATTTCCCGACTTATCGTTACATGATTTTATCAAACACAGGAGAAAACTTCCTGTCAGTAACAATGGCGATTATTAAAATGATGATGTAGAGAAACTCCAGCCCCCCCCCCCCCCCCACTTCACAAAAATACACACACAAGATATAGCATGGCGATAAACAATGAAAATACGTTATAGATGGAAATAAAAATTCGAAAAACGAGTAATACATAAGGAAATAACAAAGAAATACTTGAGGATTGAGGAAAAAATAGAAAATGATTGAAAAATCTAAGAAATACATAAAGTAAACACATTTACGAAGGAAACCAGAAGACTGATTAATAATTGCTTCATAAAGATCTACGTATGGAAAGAAAAAATGATAATCGAAAATACATGATTGATAGAAAGAAAAACATGGAATTAAACAAGGGGGTGATTGTGGAATGGGGTAATTTCCAGGGAAATGTAAATGTCCACGGGGGGGGGGGGGGGGGGGGGGGGGGGGGGGGGGGGGGGGGGGGGGGGGGGGCCGGGGTGATTGCCCAAGGGTAATTCTCCTAGAACTATAACCGTAATGAACAAGAGAAGGGAATATACAAGCATAGAGAGAGAGAGAGAGGGAGAGAGGGTGGAACAAAGAATTGCAAAAAGAAAAGATGATGAGAAAGATTCGAACAAAATCAGAACTGCTCTATCTCTCTCTCTCTCTCTCTCTCGAAGGTTCAATCATCACTACTAAGATCACGTGATCGTACCGCGCAAACATGATCTGTTTATAAATAACTTATGAGATAAACGCATGTTGCCAGACACCTGTCTCCAAAGTACCCTTTGTTTAGAAACACTTTTAACATAATACGAAATATACGCTACGCTAGCTCTCCTCATTCAAACATTCAATTCATTGGTGAACAAATTAAATTTGGAATTGATTAATAAGTTCTCTGCTTGTTTCGTGTGTCTATGTTTGTTCTTATTTTTAGTTAGATTGTCTTCTTCTTTTTCTTCTCCTTCCTTTTCTTCTCCCCCTTCTTCTTATTCCTCTCCCCCTTCTTCTTATTCCTCTCCTTCTTTTTTTCTTCCCCCACCCCTCTGCTTCTTCATATCCACTTCTTCTTTTTCTTCCACCCCCCGGCCCCGCCCCTCTGCTTCTTCACCTACTCTTCTCCCCCCCCCCCTTCTGCTTGTTTATCTCCCCTTCTTCTTTTTCGTCTCCTTCTTTGTTTTCTTCCCCAATCCCCTCTGCTTCTTCATCTACTCTTCTTCTTTTTCTTTACCCTCACCCCTTTGCTTCTTCATCTATTCTTCTCCCCCCCCCCCCTCTGCTTCTTTATATCCCCTTCCTTTTTTTCTTCCCCAATCCCCTCTGCTTCTTCATTTTCTTCTCCCCGCCCCCTCTGCTTTTCATCTACTCTTCATCTTTTTCTTCTCCTTCGTTTTCTCCCCCTGCTTCTCCATCTCCCCTTCTTCTTTTTCTTCTCCTTCCTTTTCTTCTCCCCCTTCTTTTTTTTCTTCTCCTTCCTTTTCTTCTCCCCTTCTTCTTTTTCCTCTCCTTCCTTTGTTTTCTTCCCCAATCCCCTCTGCTTCTTCATCTACAGGTGTACTCTTCCATCTTTTTCTTCACCCCCACCCCTTTGCTTCTTTATCACTTCTTCTCCCCCCCCCCTCTGCTTCTTTATATCCTCTGTTTTTTCCTCTCCTTGGGCCTTTTTTCCTTCCCCAATCCCCTCTGCTTCTTCATCTACTCTTCTTCATTTTCTTCTCCCCCGCCCCCTCTGCTTTTCATCTACTCTTCTTCTTTTCTTCTCCTTCCTTTTCTTCCCCTTCCTTTTCTTCCCCCTCCCCTCCTTCTACTTATTTCATTTCTTCTTTTCCTCGCCTTCCTTTTTTTTTTTAAGGTCACGAACGTGATGCAAGCAGCGCGAGCATAGGTCCTAAGTTGACCTAGATATCTACGTAAGCTTCGCGTACCACGTGCGTCCAAAATCTAGATCTAGCATGCATATAGTGTTAGCATAGGCTATGCCTACAGGCTACACAATGTAGCACTATTAGTATTAATTATGACTTAGCTGTTGCAAAGAAAGTATCTCTTAATCCTTGGAATTAAAATATGGAAACAGGGACTGATGTGTCATTGGCATAATGTAAGGTGAGACCAAATTGTTCATGTCATTAGTCTGATGAATGCTCAATTGAGCCATTTTATTCAGTTTAGGCTAGAGCCTAGGCTAGGCATGACGATGTGGTACGGTACATGCTAGCGTTTGCCGTCCCCGTTGCCGTCCGGCTAGCGACTGCTAACTTCATGGACCCTGGGCCTAGCTCCTCGAAGATGTTTGGCAGAAAAATATCTAAAGCCTACGGTGGTCATCCATTCTTAGATCTAAATCAGGGGGTCTAGACTAGACTTTAGGCTGCCTTACTCATATTGCTGTGAGAGTTGGTGAACACCAAAACAAATTAGTGAGCGTCTTTCCTAACATACACTCGACTCTCCCATACACTCTACGTGTATTTGTGTATAATTTTCGTGCGGTGCGATTCATATTTTAACACGCAAATTGTATAGGCAAATTGATCTGCAGTTGAATCGCTCTTCTCGACCAATTTGACTTTTCAACGTGACGTCATCGGGTCTTGTCGCGCGTGCGAGTCTTAAAAACGCACGACTTCAGCACGCGCATCATTTCAAGGCGAATATAGTACCGGGCAGATTTCGGGCAGATTTCGGGCTGATTTCGGGCTGATTTCGGGCAGATTTCGGGCGCGACTCGAACATCGGGCGCGACCCGAACATCGTTTCTTCAGCTACGCGCTTCGGGCATCGGGTCAGCCCGCTGCCAAAACCTTTAGGCAGTAGTGTAGGTGGCGGGAGTGGGTCGACGTTTTGAACAGGTTGACTATCCGTCGTCAGGAGTGGAAAATAGCTGACGTGCGTGAGCTTAAGTCACCGGGGTGCGGACGTGGGGGAAATATGCATGACCGTGTGGGCTTGAGTCATCGGGGAGTGGACATGGGTTGTCTGCTTGTCCGTCTGGGCTGGAGTCTCTGGGTTGCAGACTTGGGGGAGTTTCGAATGCATGAGTGGGGTGTGCTATCGGCGAGCCGCTGTGTGTGTCCCTGACGTAGGCGGCGTTGTACCTGTAGTCTGCTGTCGTCTGCTGTGCATTGTAGCTGTGAGGCTGGCGGCTGATTTGAGGGTTCGGCGGGTTGCGGTGGTTGATGTATGGATGTCTGCGGGGTGGTGAAGGCGCTGGCTCCACCGCCGCCTCCACCAGCATTTGGGAGTGGCCTCGGTTTCACCCACGACGTTGTGTGATCCACGTCCATGAAACGCAAGGGTCCTGGTCTCACGGAAGGTCCTGTTATCATGCTTGTTGAGCCTATGGCGCATTGGAGCAGGGAGGACAGGACCCGGTCCCACTGAGCCTAATTCTAGGATTACGAAGTCTAATAAGGCCGCTAAGCTTGCTTCTTCCCCCATGACTGCGAATAAGAAGCGCAAGCGTTCTGAATTCTAGCATCGAAAGTAGAGAAGTCTGAGTTAAGTCTTCACTTCAGTCTGTTTCTTCTCTAGTACCTCAGACTTCGCTTCGTGGCCTTTTTGATGCATTTGTTAGGGCGACTGGGCTTACCAAAAGACCCAAAAGGCATCCTGGTTTCAGGTGGAGGCTCAGCTTCTACCCCTTCCCGAGTCTCGGCCAGCAATGAGCCGGCCCTGGTCACACCTTGCTCTGGTTCATTCGGATTTTGCATGTGTTTGCTGCTTCGGCAACCAAGATTCCTTTTAGGTCCAGGTTGCCTGGTGCTGCTGTTGGCCTTCCACCATATGCCGTCGGCCCGTTAGTGGGGGTTGGGCCTGTAGCTCCTGCTGCCCTTGGTGCTCCTCCAGGTAGGGAGTCGGCAGCTGCTTTGGGTGCCTTCCCTCACCCGTGGGAATGGGTGCCCCTAGCCCGTCAGTCTGACTGGGGCTTTTTCTCGCAGTTGTCTTCGGCATCTTTTAATTTGGAGACCGAGCTCTGCCTCTGAGAGTTTCTGTTATGTGGCTGGCCTTTCTCCTCTGGCATTTTTGCCTGTTGGTGTTGGCTAGGCTCTCTTCTCCAGCTTCCCTTGCTACTCCAAGGGAGGAGTGGTAACTAGATCACTCACCCTTTTCCTCTGGGGTTTGTGCTTTTCCCGGGTCCCGGTCCAGTTGGCTTCGGCATCTGTGATAGCTAGGTTTTCGGTGGAGCTAAGCCCTGCGGCTGACCACTCCTTGAGGGCTGTTGCATGGGTTTTTCTTCAGAATTGTCTCCTCAAATCAATTTGTTGGGTAAGCATAATCAGAGTCCCGCCGCTGCTGTTAGGGGCAACAAGCTCTGCGGCGGGTTTCCCGGTTCCGGCTGGTTTCAGATCAGGGTTTTCAGATTTCTGTCCCTCTTTGATGGACATCCTTTCCTCTCCCGCTGAGGTCAGACCTAGTGTCCCAACCTCTGTCAGGCTCCTACATCTTCATCCCATGGTGCTGTCTCTGTCCACCCTGCGGTTGGCGGGGACAACGGTGAGGCTTTGGTACTCTCTGAGAAAGCCTCTCGGTTTGTATTCCAGAGTTGTAGAGGCATTGCAAGGTCCCTTTATACGACTCTCATCTGATAGCATTTTTCGTCGGGTGTGTGAAACCCTCTGTGTTTCAATCGGGCTGCTTTGGAAGGTGCGATTGCGGATTTTCTGTTCTCCTTATTTGTTAGGGTAGAGCCCTTTCCACATTTTGTGGCTACCACTCGGCCTTTGTCGCCTTTTTTGTCGGGTTCCTGTGCTGGTCTAGCAAATAATAGGTAAATACATTGATGTATTGAGGTAAATCAGAATTTTGTTATTATTTACTATATAAATCTATGTATCTAGCTACATGTATGTCTCTCCCTCCGTCCCCTCTCCCGGCAACATGTCGGAAGTGTAAACTGTATTCACAGAACTGCGGGTGTGGAAAAAAATAAAAATAAAATCATGATGTGATCCATCCTTCTTTTGCCAAAATTGACCCCCCATTTGAAAGTTTTTCACTACTCGGAAGTGTGAACCAATTTCACGCAGCAATCAGCCAAACATTCAAATTTGATGAATTTTCTGAGACCTCAGATTTGCTTCCGATTTTTAAATGACACACGCAGTTATTGAAAAGGTGACTTATGCCTTTTGAATCTACAGCTTTTATTGGTTCATTTGTACCTGTGCTATTCCCCGATAGTACTATTTCATATAGTTGCCAACTTCAATATGAAACAACTGAAGAATATAGGAGCTAGCTGGTACTTTTTCTGTTGTGATACTCCTTTGAAGCCCAAGTTGTGCAAATGGTCCATTTCATGGGCCAAATTCTTCTTCTTCCTTTTTGAGTACAGACCTCTTTACAGAGTATTATCGTACTGTACTGGGGGTGTGTGCAGGTGGACCACTACACCTGCGTTTCCCCCTACTCTTATACGAATAGTGCAGTGGGTTCTTAACGTGCAAAGGTAGTGACTCTTCTCTACATGCGGCCTCCATTTAACATCCTATCCGAGAGACGGAGTGTTTTCCATTGAACATAACCTGTGTCTATGAACAATGGAAGGGGGACGTTAACACACAACGCATGCTTCAGTCATCTGCCTGGGTGGGAGACGAACCCAGGATCTTTGGTTCGATAGGCAGATGCTTTACCGACTGAGCCAACTCGCCTCCTTTTATGATCATCAGCACCTGTGTATCGAAGTCTCCTCAAGACGTACCCTAACCTCTAATTCTGTCGTTGTCCTGCTTAGAATCACTGTCCTGACCCTCTATGGAAAAAAGTAGTGTGGAGGCCTGCTTAGTTAAAGTTTAAGGAACTGTATCTTGAGTTGTATGACTTTTAAATCATTTCCTTCTTATTTTCAAAGTCCTTTTTATACATTCCTATTTGTAGGAGTCCGGGAGATCTTGATGGCCTTGAAAGCTATGCCGAGATTCGTGAATATGATGGGGTCAGTGATGATGAGTTTCAGGATAAACAAGATAGAGTGAAAAAATGCTTGACCGGAAACCATTCTAGCGTGAGGTCCGAGTGCCCAGGAGTGTGTCCATTGTGTTCGACTATTTGGAATTCTCTAGCTGATAGAACTAGTCACCTGCAGACACACATTCCAAAAGATCAGGGTCGGCAAGCATTCAAAGAGGCTTGTGAAGCCATCGAAAAGAAAATTGGGAAGGAGTACACCCAGAGAATGGGATGGTGTGAGGTGTGTGATAAGTTCTCCTCAAGCTTACATACCCACATGATTAATGTCCACCAGAGGAGCCGGCGCCAGACCCTGTGTACACAATGTGGGAAGATGATTAAGGGTGGCTCTTTAAAGATGCACCAACTCTCCCACATTCACGTAGATGAAGAGGATTATGTCCAATGTCCAAAGTGCCCTACCAGGATTAAGCACCAGGAGTACCTTAGGCAACATATTAGGCTACACATGGACGATGTTCCAAATCGTTTCAAGTGCCCAACATGTGGAAAGGGTTTCAGGTTGCCATCTGCTCTCAAGGTACATGAAGCAATCCACCGTGCTGTCAAGCCTTTTCCTTGCTCAATTTGCGACAAGTCGTTCACTCAGAGGAGCAATCTCGGGATACACATGCGACAGCATACAGGAGATAAGCCGTACATTTGTGAGTTTTGTGAGATGGCGTTTACCAATAAGGTCAGCTTAAAGAACCACAAGAAGAAACTGCATGGAATTGTCTGGTGGAAAGAGAAGGAATCTTCAAAGCAGGAAGATCCAGAGACAGCTTCCCGCAGTCAGACTGTAAAGAGAAGGCTATAATCATACAGCGTTGCCAGTACATGAGTTCAAGGTACATACATGTACATGTACATGTACATCTTACCAATTTCCAAAGACACTTCTGGGCAATTCGCTGCAACGTGTATGTACATGTGCACTCAGCAAAAAAAGGAAAGAAAGTGTACACCCTTTACTGTTCCAAATATTCATATTTAAACGATCATTAAAATATAACAAATTAAACATCAAATTAAAGAAAAATTAAAACTCTACCAACATCAAGTAAGATCAGTTTCTGAACCTTCACGTTTGGATGGGCACATTCATTTAACCATTAGAAGGTCTGATTAAGGAAATTGCAAAGATCAACCAATTAGCCATTAAAGTGTTAATGAACATTTGCATCTGTAAAATATTCTAGTTCAACATTGAAAATAGAGAATGAGAATGACGTCGATTGAGGTCCAGAATCGGCAATCATGGTCAAGATGCCTCTTCTTTCGTGTTTCTCATATTAAATTTTATTTTTTTGGTCTTTGTGTTTAGTTTGACTCTACAAGATGGTAATGCCCATCAACATTCAAATGGTAAAATACCCTAGTTTTACATTTTTTTTCTTTAGAGACTCATTTATTGATAAATGGCTCGCTCACTCATGTGTGAATGACATTCTAATTGTATATCTTCTTAAAGAGGATCAATTAAAATGTCTATTTTGAGATATATGAAAGATAAGTCTACATGTATATTAAATACTTGTTTGAAAATCTTAATTATAAATAGTGTACTGGTACACTTATTTTTCTGAGGGTTATATGAATGATTGCATCTTGCAATGGTCCAGAAGCAACTTTATTCAATTTCTTTCGTCCAAAAATAATAATTAAAAAAATTCTAGATATGACCATGACTTGAGCATGACTGGAGACTGTGACACCTCTAATGCTTGTTTATGTTTCTTTTCTATTTGCTGTAGGTGTCTTGGTGACCAGGACAGCCTTGAGAGTGATGACAGCTTTGAATATGGAGGAGATAGTGATGAAGACGTTGAGGGTAAACCTGCTCATAAAAGAAAAAGACACCAGAGCAAAAATCGCAAACCAGCCTTTAAGTTCCCAGAAGCATGCCCAATCTGCTTTGAGGCGTGGAAAGAGAAACGGAAAGTTATGCACCATTTACAAAAACACATCCCGATTGATCAGGGTCCAGAAGCAATCAAGGATGCCGTCCAATCAATCAAAAGCAAATTTGAAAAGGAGCACAATTTTGACATGGGATGGTGTGGGGAGTGCAAAAAATTACTCCTGCGCTTTAGAACACACCTTAACAGATGCCACGACAAGAATTCTAGATATGGTGTACTGTGCCAGCAGTGTGGTAAAATGATCAACAGTCAGTATATCAAAAGGCATGAGATCTCACACCTAGAGATCAAGGAGAGCGATTACGTCCAATGTCCACAGTGCCCCTCAAGGTTTAAGCACCAGCAATACCTCAAGAGTCACGTTAGGTGTGTCCACAACAAAAAACCTAGGAGTGCGCAGTGCTCGACCTGTAGCAAGGTCTTGAAAAGTCGGGAACATCTCAAGCGACATTTAGTAATCCACAGTGGAGTTAAGCCTTATTCATGCTCGATGTGTGACAAGTCGTTCACGCAGAGTAGCAATCTCAAGGCACATATGCGGCAGCATACAGGAGATAAGCCGTATGTTTGTGAGTTGTGTGAGATGGCGTTTAACCATAAGGTCAGCTTAAAGAACCACAAGAAGAAACTGCATGGGATTGACTGGTGGAAAGAGAGAGAATCATTGAAAAAGGAAGATCCAGAGAGAAATAAAAGTGATGGCTCTGAATAGAGAAAACAAGCGATCTGATTCGCTCATATATGCAGCGGAAAATGCCAGAAAAACAATATTCAAACAGGACTCACGTTTGCTTTAATTACCAAAAGATGATTGCTAGTGTTGGTCAACAGTAAACAGTGCGTCCCAGTAAAAACGGATATAATGTTACAGGTTCCCAAATTACAATTATTTGCAATTCTTGCCCAAAGTTTTAACAACGTACATGTTACCTTCCATTGAAGTAGATGACCATTATATTTTTGTACAACTTTGCACTATGGCTGAGACATGTGTTTTCTTCCAAAAGCGTTAGAAATAATGGGGAAAAAAGGAGATGTGAGTTGATCTATCCGCACATTCACTTGATTGGCTATATGTCTTTGCCTACAAACTGACTCAGGCAATTACCCTGGTTCGAAACTAAATCATATCTTTCGGATGGTGACGTTAAAGGTCGGTCCCCGGCTGCCGCCAGACGTAACTAATCAAATCTGATTGATAAATGTTTGTATAAAACCAAATGACACACACGCCTGTAAAACAATAAAAAATAAATAAATCAAAGTTCATATTAAAGTCACATAAGACATGTCTAAGAGGCTTTAGATTCAGATTCAGATTTTATTTCCGTTTCAAAACAAACAAAATATAAACAGACATAATATAATACAGTCAAATATAATATAAACAAAGTAAATTCAGTATTATGTAGAACAAAATTTAGTTGATAAGAAATATTGGGAAAAAACAGTACTGAACAATAGAAAAAAAATGACCTTGATGAAGTAATTCAAAATGGAGGGGCTTGCTAAAAAAGCAGAGCTTGTATGAGGCAAGCCCCTGACTTAGTTACATGGATACGCTTTGCCAAGTACATGTACATTCCCCCTTGATACTCTGTGCACATACATACCAAAGTCTTCTTTTCAGTTTCCGGTTAAACGTTTGGCAAAATAGTTTTGGTTTTAACGGTTGGTGTTACGAATTTGATTAAGTAATGATGCTTTAATGAGCTTTTGTGAGACTGTCAATGTGTTTGTACTAATGACAAAAAAACAACTGAAACTTTCTGTTGAATTTACCTGTTTTATTTTTACACACCTGTAGTTTTGTACTAGTATGAGGAGTATTATTGTATATTTGCATTCCATCAATTACATATGTAAATTGTAGTATTATTTTCTTGTCCAAATCAAGGGACATAAATGTGGGTTTATTATAAGAATTTGAATGAGGTGTAACATTCAGAAGGCAATTATACATGTAGTATGATTTTAGCTTTTGTTTCTTGAAAAAAAAAGTGATTGCATACCCACAGAATCCCCAAAGTCACATTGTGTGATTTTAAGGGGTACATGACTGTATTTGGTCAGTGAGGTAAAATAATAGTTGCTTGTATTACCTGAAAGAGTGTACTTCTATCAAATTCAAACAGAACCACCCACGCTTCATTCCCCTTTTGTCACTTTGCTCAAAATTTTACGAGTCAGACTCGATCGGTATATTCCCAACTTTAAATGCACTTATCTTTAAAATAACCTTCTTTTGGACCTCACATTTCCTCTCTATATTGCGGTGTGGTGTGTTAGGAATTTTAGTGAGTTCTATATTATGTACATGTAGTATTTCAGAAACAGAACTTAAAAGAATCATCTCTGGCAACTTTTTGGTGGTTTTTGTTGTGCTGGCTTAACATATAACATACATGTATTATAATGCCATTCAGTAATGATCCATTATTTGTTACAGGGTTTGTATCATCCAAGATAGCTTAGGATTTAGGTTTAACCCATAACATTGAACATGCAGAGTAGGCTGAATCAGGATGAAGTATTATCCATAGCAGGCAGCTCTATCATGTGCAAAATTTGATTGAAAATGCTGTCCACTATTTTACAAATGTATTTTTACTTGTAAAAATAATTATTAAAAAAAAACAGAAGAGAAATAAAATCACAGTAAATGTTGTCATTTTGTCGTACAAGCATGTGAAACTGTATACCGGTATGTATAAAACCAGTCGTACAAACCTTTGTCCTGCAACGATTGCTCTTTAATTTCCACTGGACGGGAATTCTGTATATGGTAGCGACTCGATATAAGAAGAGCTCTTCTTAGGGGAACATGTCAAACTAAAAGGGGCACTCAGAGGTGAAAAGAGCATTTATCAGGATGGGAAAAGGCGCATGTCAACGTAAATTAATAATCATAATAATAATAATAATAATCTTTTAGTCCACTCCAAATTTTTACACCCCCTCTCTATTGTGTTGAATTTTTTTTTTTTAAATATTAAAAAACTGCTTGCTGAAGGAGGAAAAAAGTTGTTCCCTCGGACACCCCCACTCCCCCCCCCCCCCAAGCCACTGAACAAAATATCTTACAACGTAATGATCATATTTCCGAGGCCAAACAAATTAACAAATGTGCTCTTCGGAATAAAAATAAATAGGATCAAAATTACTAGGAATGGTTGAAATATAGAAAGAGATGATGAATTGTGGGAAACAAAGAACAAATTATAGAAGAAAAGGGAAACGAGAGAAAGGCAGAAACGAGGATATATAGACCAAATGGAAAATTGTGGTACGAAGAATTCCCAATTAACCTAAAGATGGGCCGGAAGTTGAATTGCAGAAAATAAAGAATTACAATGTAAGCCTAAGGCCTATAGAGGAAAAGCGGAATGAAGTGAGAGAAAGAATTACAGATGTATAGAAGAACCATTAATAAAAAATGGCATAACTTAAAAAAGAAGATGATAGGGGAAACCAACAAAGAATATCGTAGTGATTACATGATGGAATTTATTTATTTTTTAAACGAACAGGGAATAAAAGGACAACAGTAAATAACATCAGGAAAAAACTACGACAAAGGGCAGAAATATGAATTTATAGCAGATCAATTCAAGAAATGGATATAGAAGAATCAAACATAAACATAAATAAAGGATGATAGAAGAGATCAGTGGCGGATCCAGGAATTTCTTACGGGGGGGGGGGGGGGGGGGGGGGGAGGCACAAAATCGCATGGGGTGTAATATATGAAAAACGATGGAGCGAGGCGTCAGTGGAGAGGGAGCGGAGCGACCAAGCGGGGATGGGTCTGGGAGGGGGTCAGAACCCCCCAGTGGCGGATCCAGGGGGGGGGGCCCGGCCCCCCCCCCCCCCCCCTTGAGAAAAAAATCATGTAAAATCACGTGATTTTTACCTTTTTGGGGGGTTGGGCCCCCCCCCTGGCGCTCAAGGGGGGGTGCAAATTGAATTTTTTTTTGAGGATAAAAAAAAAAAAAATGTGCTCACCCCCCCCCCCCCCCCCCCCCCCCCCCCCCCCCCCCCCCCCCCCCCACCCCCCCCCCCACCCCCCCCCCCCCCCCCCCCCACCCCCCACTGAGCGAATTTTTGGCCGGCGCGTTTTTCAAATTTTCGGGAGCAAAAAAAAAAAAAAAAAAAAAAAAAAAAAAAAAAAATTGTGCTCTGTACCCCCCCCCCCACTGAGCGACTTTTCGGCCGGCGCGATTTTCAAATTTTCGGGAGCAAAAAAAAAAAAAAGTTGGGCCCCCTCCCCTAAGAAATCCTGGATCCGCGCCTGGAACCCCCTCCCTGAGTATAGGAAGCATTTGCAATTTTAGAACCACATTAGGTGCATTTTCAGGCAGTTCCTGGAGTAATCCCAGATAACAATACGGCGTTGGGCCAACGTCGGCCACGGTCGGCAGGGTCGCAGTCGGCAAGCCAACGTTGGCTAATCGTTGGGTCATCGTCGCCATTTTTTACTGATAGATGGTGGCTATTGGTTGGCTCATTCGACGTTGGGCCAATGTTGGCTGAACGTTGGTCCATTGTCGCCATTTTCACTGATAAATGGTGGCTATTGGTTGGCTATTCGACGTTGGGCCAATGTTGGCTGAACGTTGGTCTATTGTCGCCATTTTCACTGATAAATGGTGGCTATTGGTTGGCTATTCGACGTTGGGCCAATGTTGGCCGAACGTTGGTCCATTGTCGCCATTTTCACTGATAAATGGTGGCTATTGGTTGGCTATTCGACGTTGGGCTATTGTTGGTTTAATGTTGGTCCATTGTCGCCATTTTCACTGATAAATGGTGGCTTTTGGTTGGCTATTCGACGTTGGGCTATTGTTGGTTTAATGTTGGTCCATTGTCGCCATTTTCACTGATAAATGGTGGCTTTGGGTTGGCTATTCGACGTTGGGCCAATGTTGGATAAATGTTGGTCCATCGTCTCAATTATCACTGATAAATATTGGCCATTGGTTGGCTATTCGACGTTGGGCTAACGTTGGCTGAACGTTGGTCCATTGTCACCATTTTTACTGATAAATGGTGGCTATTAGTTGGCTATTCGACGTTGGGCCAATGTTGGCTGAACGTTGGTCCATTGTCGCCATTTTCACTGATAAATGGTGGCTATTGGTTGGCTATTCGACGTTGGGCCAATGTTGGCTGAACGTTGGTCCATTGTCGCCATTTTCACTGATAAATGATGGCTATTGGTTGGCTATTCGATGTTGGGCCAATGTTGGCTGAACGTTGGTCCATTGTCACCATTTTTACTGATAAATGGTGGCTATTAGTTGGCTATTCGACGTTGGGCCAATGTTGGCTGAACGTTGGTCCATTGTCGCCATTTTCACTGATAAATGGTGGCTATTGGTTGGCTATTCGACGTTGGGCCAATGTTGGCTGAACGTTGGTCTATTGTCGCCATTTTCACTGATAAATGGTGGCTATTGGTTGGCTATTCGATGTTGGGCCAATGTTGGCTGAACGTTGGTCTATTGTCGCCATTTTCACTGATAAATGGTGGCTTATGGTTGGCTATTCGACGTTGGGCTATTGTTGGTTCAATGTTGGTCCATTGTCGCCATTTTCACTGATAAATGGTGGCTTTGGGTTGGCTATTCGACGTTGGGCCAATGTTGGCTAAATGTTGGTCCATCGTCTCAATTATCACTGATAAATGTTGGCTATTTTTTGGCTATTCAACGTTGGGCCAATGTTGGTTGAACGTTGGTCTATTGTCTCATTTATTACTGATAAATGTTGGCTTTTGGTTGGCTATTCGACGTTGGGCTAACGTTGGCTCATTGTCGCCATTTTCACTGATAGTGGTGGCTATTATTTGGCTATTCGACGTTGGGCCAATGTTCGCTGAACGTTGGTCCATTGTCATTATTTTTACTGATAAATGGTGGCTATTGGTTGGCTATTCGACGTTGGGCTAAAGTTGGCTCAACGTTGGTCCATTGTTGCCATTTTCACTGATAAATGGTGGCTATTGGTTGGCTATTCGACGTTGGGCCAATGTTGGCTGAACGTCGGTCCATTGTCTCAATTTTAACTTATAAATGTTGGCTATTGGTTGGCTATTTGGCGTTGGGCCAATGTTGGCTTCATGTTGGACCATCGTCTCAATTTTTTTTTTTAAATGGTGGCTTTGGGTTGGCTATTCGACGTTGGGATAACGTCGGCTGAACGTTGGTCCATCGTCTCAATTTTAAATTTTAAATGTTGGCTTTTGGCTGGCCATTCGATGTTGGGCCAATGTTGGCTGAACGTTGGTCCATCGTCTCAATTATTACTGATAAATTGTGGCTGTTAATTGGCTATTCGACGTTTGGCTATTAACGTTGGCTCAATGTTGGTCCATCGTTTCAAATTTTACTGAGAAATGGTGGATATGTTGGCTAATATACGCGACGTTGGGCCAACCTTGGCTTAACGTTGGTCTATATCGTCTCCATCTTCACTGATAAATAGTGCATGTATATATTGGTGGGCTATATGACGTTGGGCCAACGTAGCAAATACGACCTAGTACCGCTACATCCGGGTAAAAAAAATTGCATGCGTGCGCATGCCCATGTGCTCATGCAATTGCAACGTACGTCAGCCATATCCTGTCCATTTGTCTGGATCAGTTGCCGGGGAGTACCAACACTGCATGGTAAATGAATGATTTCCTTTCTCTTTCAACGTTATTTTTGTGAGCATGTCGCGTGAAACTGATAAATTGTATAGTGTGAGAACTCCCCGTCACAAAGCGAGGGAAAAAGCATGAGAAATTGTTAAAGTAATCATTGATAATTCCCTGTCCAAATGAAAGTGAAAGTGCAGTACGAGTGTACCGTTCGGCGTACGCTTAGCATGCACACCCGCTGCGTGCAATTGAAGTGTGAGTGATGGCTAAGATGGCTATGATGGAGGCCGAAGTGTCGGCATCAGATGCATTGAGTGTTTGCCGTGATAAATGTTAATATGTTCCTGACTTAGAGTTAGACCTAGGTGATGTATTGATGCATCATGTTACAGCGTCCGTGACAGTGATGATGTTCATCCCAATATGCAATATCGACCATGAATCAAATGATTGTGAATCTGTTGGTGTTACAAGTGTTGAACTTAAGGTGCCTATGCATTGTTGGAAAGACCAATTGAATCAAATAGAAATGAATGGGAAGACGCATCATTTTTTTATGCATATCTAAATGATATTATAGTCTCGATCTGATACTTTCAGATTTAGAAGTAGGTCTATACTATACTCTTATTCCTACTCTTCGAAAAGGAATAAATTACGAGATTGGGCTGTGAATTAAGATATCCCGCTAGTACATGTTTCTAGCCTCCTGAAATCTTACAAGGGAGTGTGCCAAGTCTGCCAAAATATGCAAGAACTTTGTATCAACACATTTAGTGGATTGTGAGTGTGATGTGAAAGAGGTAGCTGTTGGGAATTACCCTCATTTTGGCATTTGCAATCATTTAAAGTCGCAATTGGCCAAGAACCTCAATTTGCAAAGTAAATAGGAAAAACTATTGGGGGCGGGGGTAACACTGATCGATCCCATAACTTTCATTCACAATTTTCATTCACAAATTTGATTATTGCTGCATTTTTATTCTCATTTTCAAATTAGTTTTTATTGTTTATGCACATGTATATTAAATTGCTATAATTTGAACTGAAGGTAAATATTCTAATTATTTATTTTTAAAATTCTGACGTTCTTTATTAATACATTCAATTCTATATAGCTCTTCCAAATCCCAATACTTTTTTCTCCCATAATTCCTACAATTCTGAAATTTAAATATTAAATCCTGCATTTCATATCGTCAACTTCACAACAAATTCCAGATTCCTCTACCCGTTCAGATCCAGCTACCCCTACCTCGATCATTCAGAACAGCATCAACAGCACCAAGGACCCCTTCGACATCGACCCCATCAACCTCCAGAACACTGTCGACCCCAACGACCCCATTGACCTCAACATTCAGAAATATGGGTATGTCATTTGGCATTTTATTCATTTTGTATTTAGTTATACATGTAGACAGGATGGCACTTCTTAGTATTCGTTATAGTTGTGCCCTGCACACAAAGTACAAATGTACTGGATTAATGTACGTTTGTGTAGGACATAGCTGCTAACGGATGCTAGTATCTTTTTCCTGATTATATTGAGAAACTGCATTGTGATCACTTACAAAACTATTCAACAACAACAAATCATGAAATACTGCTTATAGCAGTATTTTTTGGGAAACAATTCTGAATGCAGGGTGCCACAAAGAACAAAACACAGTCAATTGATTTGTTTCTTGTATAAGCAACTAACGATATAGCTTTGTGTTTTTGTTTCTACTTTGAAGCCCCTCAAGCTCTCTCAAGTATTGGGAGCTTACATAAATACAAAAAAAAGTATTGGCAGCTTCACATTTCACTTCAATGTTATAATGATGTGAAAGAAAATGCCACTCTTCAAACATTTGTCCTAAAAATTAGAAAGAATACAAACTTACTAATAAGGGTTTTGTGTTGTATGCAGAAAACGCAAATTTTGTATTCTTTCATCCATATTCTACTTCAAACACATTTGTTAGGGCAATATTCTATTTGCAGAAGTGTCCGGGTGTTAATGACATCCTCTTTTACATCATACCATTTAAGTGAGATTGTGCCATCTATTCTTTGGCTAATTTTGGGATCCAACACTTAAGAGGGGCTTTAAACTGTTATCAATCAAGCATCTCAACACTGAGCAAACAGATACTATAAATTGGTTCTTTCTATTGAAGAATATTACTGCCATTTTACCTCAAATGTATATTTCCTTTGTTAATAAGAGTGTTTGATGCTATTCTAATTAAACAAGACAAAAATAAAAGAAATCCATTCCTTTCTAATTTCCATACGTCTGGGTCATTCGCTCTAAAGTTTGAACGAAGTTATTTTCATGACAAAGTACTTCTATCCATGAAATTTCATCAAAACTAGGGAGGATGTGCCACTCAGGACTACTTCCCTTGAATGCCGTACTATTTGATTAATATCCGTACTATTTCAAGGTGATGTTTCCATGATCTGCTTTTAAATCTTGTTTGGTTTCTTTCTTCTTCTTTTTTTTGCCGCAGATGTCGAAGTTGTACCACCACAAGCTAGACAAGATTTTGATTCCGACTAACCCATTCTTTAAAGGTCCATTATGTTAGGAAATTAAAACTTGTATGTCTTGTATCAAGACCCTTTTAAAGCAACATAATAACAATTGTTTCATAAATAAACGCCTCCTTATATTTTTTACAATTTTTTGAAAACCTCTCCAAGTTGCTCGTCTAATGGTGGACCCCGCCCTTACAATTCTCAGAGTTCCTCGGAATGATTGACCAAAGGATTAGTGATGTTATATCAAGAACGATCTCCGCTTAGGCAAGCTACGGTGCTTGCTAGCCAGCTCTGCAGGCATTATGTTTTGTACACAAACATAAACAATAACTTTTGTTATTAAATAGTGTGCTATGCATCTTTACTTGTTATTTATTGTGGTGAAATTTCACTAATGGCCCAATTTTAAAAAGAGAGCTATACCATGAGTCGAAGAAGGTCGTAATTGATTTGAATGCCTGTATAACGTGTCAACTAAATGCATGCTATAAAGAATTTCAAAGGTAAGAAAAAAATGTTTCATATATCTAAGTGACTGAATGTTTTCGTACTACCTTCTTCTCAATTTAAAGAAATATTGAAAGTGGTATATCAGAGTGAAGAAACTTGTGTTTTTCCCTTTACAAGCTCTGCTCTTTCTTACTTCACTTTCAAATTTGCTCTGTTGTTATATAAACATTTAGCGATTGCTTTACTTCACACATTCAAGCAATGTATACTATCCCTCCTAAAAAAAACAGTTTGTAGATGTGTTAACAATAGATATGGCGACGAAATGTATCAGCATCTCTGAAATGCCTAAGCATAAAAATTAAAAAATGTTGGCAATTTCTCTGAATTTAATTTTTTATTTTTTATGGAACATTGTTTACATTAATGGCCTAGTTCTTGGTATGCAAATGGTGGACACTTTATTAATTTCTTTATATTTTTGTGCTGTACATATGTAGAGGAATCTTGTCATAAGCAATCGTGTTCGTCTGCCAGAAAGTTTGTTTTGTTTTACTCGGGAAGTTGTGAGGATTGTTTATTATATTCGTACAATGAATTTCAGTATGTTATGTTGTGTTACGTGTAAGCGACAATTCATTTTATAACAGCTCCTATCGTCCTAGCATTCATTGATAGTAGGCCTATATTGTGACACATTGAGATACCTTGAACTTGAAACTATGTTTACATCTTTTTCGAATTCAAACGAAAATACAAAAGAAAGATGTACAATAATTGTATTCACATTTACAACAGTTTGTTTATTACACATAAAATAAAGTATGTTTTATCACAAAATCAGTTTATTTTCCTTGTTCTTTTGTTTTGGAGGAAGGGGATGTATTCAGAGCAAATTCTAAGAAGCAAGATGGTGAACTTTTCATTAAAATGGGACAAATAAGTTGTTATCAAGTTTTGATAGTGATTAAAATGTACAAGATAATAGACATGACGAAACTAAAATAACATGTCCCTCTTGCTTCAATATTGTTATTATACTTATCTTGCAGAGGGATCTATAATGAACGTTTCTCAAATTCAGTCTAATTTTGATGAAATTGTTACTATCTTCATTTTGTGGATTTTGCTCTGTTTATTTATTTAATCCAATCTTAAACTACTTGGCTTTTCCTTGTCACGTTGTGATGCATGTGTTTGAATGATTGTACATGTCCGATGTAGTATGATCTTGACGATGTTCTTATGAACGGACGACTGATGTTGGTGTGAATATGTTTTGAGTTGGTGTTGGTAATGTCAGAAGGATGTTGGCATGAACTGGAAAGGGGAGGTACAACGTCGGCACATGGTGGGATACGGGTTGGCATAACGTTGCTTCTACGTCGGCAAATGGTGGAGAAGAGGTTGGCATAACGTTGGTCTAGCATTGGCACATGGTGGAGGAGGGGTCGGCAATTGGTGGGAAAAGGGTTGGCATGTTAGGACAACGTCGGGGAGACGTCGGCACATAGTGTAAAAGGGGTTGGCATTACGTTGGTCCTACGTCAGGGAGACGTCGGCACATGGTGGAAAAGGGGTTGGCATTACGTTTGTCCTATGTCGGCATATGGTGGGATAGGGGTTGACATGACGTTGGTCATACGTCGGGGGAACGTTGGCCCGATGTTGGCTTAATGTCATTTCGTCGCTGTCGAACCAACGTTGGCCCGCCGGCAAGAAAGCCGTTGGCCCAACATCACATTGGCGACGATGGCGCAACGTAACAGCCCACGACGTCGGCACATGGTGGGATAGGGGTTGGCATAACGTTGGTCCAATGTCGGAACTACGTCGGCACATGGTGGGATAGGGGTTGGAATAACGTTGGCCCTACGTCGTGGAGACGTCGGCACATGGTTGAAAAGGGGTTGGTATAACGTTGGGCCAATGTCGAGGAGACGTCGGCACATGGTGGGATAAGGGTTGGCATAACGTTTATCCAATGTCGGAACAACGTCGGCACATGGTGGGATAGGGGTTGGCATAACGTTGGTCGTACGTCGGCACATGGTTAAAGAAGGGTTGGGACGACGTTGGTCCAATGTCGGAAAGACGTCGGCATACGGTGGAAAAAAGGGTGGCATAACGTTGGTTCAATGTCGGGAGGACATCGGCACAAATGGTCGGATAGGGGTCGGCATAACGTTGGCCCGATGTTGGCTTAATGTCATTTTTTCACTGTCGGGCCAACGTTGGCCCGCCGGCAAGAAAGCCGTGGGCCCAACATCATGTTGGCGACGTTGGACCAACGTAACAGCTTACGTTGGCCCCACGTTGGCGTAACGTCGTATTGTTATCTGGGATAATGACGTAAAATTGCTTTCTCCTACCCCCTCAAAGAGTAGGGATCCAGGGGCGGATGATGGGATCTGGCTTTTTGCTAAGGGGGGGGGGGGGGCCGGGGTTGACCCAATCGGACGACACGGAGCATTGTCCACGAGCCGCGAAGCGGCGCGAGGCGATTTTTTGTTGTTGTTGCTATTTTGAACCCCCGTAAGTGATGTTTTCCTGGCATCTACTGACACAATGGAGACCATAAAAAGCAGTGCATGATAATTAAATCTTTTTAAATCAATGCTAGTTTAAGGGGGGTCGACCCAAAGACGATGCAGAGCATTGTCCACGAGCTGCGTAGCGGCGAGGCGATTTTGGGGGTGCTATATTGTAACAAATCAGTGTTTTAGTATTGGACGAAGGTTAAGCATTTTCTGTTGTACGAGCATGCGCTATAGCAATATGGTGCATCGTTGATTTAGCAATTACCAAACTGAAGGAAAATGAGCATAAATTACATATTTTGATCATGTTGGTGCAATTATCATGTTTCTTTTGGGGATATTACTTGTATAGTAGTGATCTAATCAGGAATAAGGGGTTATACTGAAGATTATATGTGAAGATTTTATGGGATTAGCAGAAATATTGTGTTGAAGTGTTGTACTAACGAGGACATAATTGTTCTTTTACACGTTTATGTATAGGGAAATTGTTACGATGGTCAGGGTTGTGCATCTAGGGCTTTCCACTGCACTGTATCCGATACAGGCCAGCCTCACCGAGGCTGGCCTGATAGTTGGCCTGATAGTTGGCCTGATAGTTGGCCTGATAGTTGGCCTGATAGCTGGCCTGATAGTTGGCCTGATAGTTGGCCTGGCCTAAGTCTCTAAGCTAAGTCTCACATAGTTTGCACCGTACTTGTACTGAGTTCACCCAATTGTTGAATGGATCGCAATAAAGACTTTCAACCTACACATCATGATTGGTTTGATTTCTTGGAGCAGTGAAACCAAGGGACGAGAACCTGTGACAAGTGTTGACAAGGGAAATTGATTGTTCGAAGGATGCTCAATTGATTGATGCTGTGAACGAGACGTTTAGGTGACCGATTGTAGTCGATGGACGAATGATTGTTGAGATACGTGTGAGCAGTTAATAACTCCAGCCATTAAGCTACGGGCATATATTTTGTCCAAACGGACGGAGAGCGCCTGGCCGACACGGGGCATCCTGACAAATATTCCGTGTCAAGCCAAGGTGGCGAAATCGTGTCCGCCACACATGGTGTCAGAAGTGGGATAGCTGATGGTGTGGAGTGGTAGAGCTGACAGAGCTGGGGGACGACGGCAGTAGCACTGACGGAGCTGGGGGACCATAGGCAGTAAGTCTGACGGCGTCACAAGCTGGTAGAGCTGACGGAGCTGGGGGACGACAGGCAGTAAGGCTGACGGCGTCACAGCTGGTTGAGCTGGGGGACGACGGGCAGTAGGTCTGACGATGTCACAAGCTGGTAGAGCTGACGGAGCTGGGGGACGACGGGCAGAAGGCCTGACGGCGTCACAAGCTGGTAGAGCTGACGGAGCTGGGGGACGACGAAGGGCAGTAGGTCGTACGGCGTCACAGCTGGTCGAGCTGATAAAGCTTGGGGGCGACGTGCAGTGAGACTGCCGCGTCACAGCTGGTCGAGCTGAAGGAGCTTGGGGACAACGGGCAGTAAGACTGACTGCGTCACAGCTGGTCGAGCTAACGGAGCTTGGGGACGACGGGAGGTAGCATTGACGGTGTTGCAGCTGGTCGAGTTGACGGAAGTGCGGAACGACAATGGAGAGAAAGAACAATGAGCCCAGGGATGCCTAGATCTAGAAGGAAAGGAAACGAACTAACTTTTGAACAGTTGAACACTTTTGGAAAAGAGCCATTTTGAACTGTCAGAAAAGACTTGGATTTTAGTTTTGATTTGTTTTGTTGTTGTTGCATAAGTTATAGATAAGTTAGCTTGGGGACCAAGCTTGGGAGGGAAGGGAATCGTGTAACAAATCAGTGTTTTAGTATTGGACGAAGGTTAAGCATTTTCTGTTGTACGAGCATGCGCTATAGCAATATGGTGCATCGTTGATTTAGCAATTACCAAACTGAAGGAAAATGAGCATAAATTACATATTTTGATCATGTTGGTGCAATTATCATGTTTCTTTTGGGGATATTACTTGTATAGTAGTGATCTAATCAGGAATAAGGGGTTATACTGAAGATTATATGTGAAGATTTTATGGGATTAGCAGAAATATTGTGTTGAAGTGTTGTACTAACGAGGACATAATTGTTCTTTTACACGTTTATGTATAGGGAAATTGTTACGATGGTCAGGGTTGTGCATCTAGGGCTTTCCACTGCACTGTATCCGATACAGGCCAGCCTCACCGAGGCTGGCCTGATAGTTGGCCTGATAGTTGGCCTGATAGTTGGCCTGATAGTTGGCCTGATAGCTGGCCTGATAGTTGGCCTGATAGTTGGCCTGGCCTAAGTCTCTAAGCTAAGTCTCACATAGTTTGCACCGTACTTGTACTGAGTTCACCCAATTGTTGAATGGATCGCAATAAAGACTTTCAACCTACACATCATGATTGGTTTGATTTCTTGGAGCAGTGAAACCAAGGGACGAGAACCTGTGACAAGTGTTGACAAGGGAAATTGATTGTTCGAAGGATGCTCAATTGATTGATGCTGTGAACGAGACGTTTAGGTGACCGATTGTAGTCGATGGACGAATGATTGTTGAGATACGTGTGAGCAGTTAATAACTCCAGCCATTAAGCTACGGGCATATATTTTGTCCAAACGGACGGAGAGCGCCTGGCCGACACGGGGCATCCTGACAAATATTCCGTGTCAAGCCAAGGTGGCGAAATCGTGTCCGCCACAATATTTTGAACCCCCGTAATTTCCTGGCATCTATATAGGCCTACTAACACAATGGAGACCATAAAAAGCAGTGCATGCTAACGTCTTTTTAAATCAAGTAACAGTTTGAGGGGGGTTCGACCCAATGACAATGCGGAGCATCGTCCACGAGCCGCGAAGTCCGAGCCGCGTAGCGGCGAGGCGATTTTTTTTTTTTTTTTTTTTTTTTGGGGGGGGGGGGGGGGGGGGGGGGCTATTTTGAACCCCCGTAATTAAGTGATATTTTTCTGGCATCTACTGACACAATGGAGACCATAAAAAGCAGTGCATGATAATTAAATCTTTTTAAATCAATGCTAGTTTAAGGGGGGTCGACCCAAAGACGATGCAGAGCATTGTCCACGAGCCGCGTAGCGGCGAGGCGATTTTTGGGGGTGCTATATTTTGAACCCCCGTAATTTCCTGGCATCTATATAGGCCTACTAACACAATGGAGACCATAAAAAGCAGTGCATGCTAACGTCTTTTTAAATCAAGTAACAGTTTGAGGGGGGTTCGACCCAATGACAATGCGGAGCATATATCGTCCACGAGCCGCGAAGTCCGAGCCGCGTAGCGGCGAGGCGATTTTTTTTTTTTTTTTTTTTTTTGGGGGGGGGGGGGGGGGCTATTTTGAACCCCCGTAAGTGATATTTTTCTGGCATCTACTAACACAATGGAGACCATAAACAGCAGTTCATGATAACGTCTTTTTAAATCATTTAAGTAACAATCCAATGACGATATGCGGATACTGTGTGGGTCTGATGGCGTTTTTCTATTTACATCACATTTTCACTATGGCAGCCCAGGGGGGTGGGGGGGGGGGGGGTTACACCACCTAACCCCTCCCCCATCCCCCCACAGATCCGCCACTGGGATCTTTTGCAAACTGGAAGCAATAAGCATTACATGTAGGCGATGGAAAAAAGTGCTTGCGAAACGGATAGAAACTTCGCCGCCACAGGATGACAGACAGTGAAACCAGCAACTGTGGCAGGATTAATGGCGGGGACAATCAGCATGCTGAAAGAGCACTTAGAATAGGTAAATCGGAAAATTAATTCAAGACTAAGTTATAAGTTTTAAGTTAGAAGTTATAAAGGAGATAAAATCTTTGGTATAAGTCATGTTCGACTTAAAATTGCATGCCCCCCCCCCCTGCCCATTACCCGGTAAAAAAACACCTTCTTATAATCATCCCCCTTTCTTTCTTTTCCCTTCTCATTATGCTCCTTTTCCCCCTTTTCTCTTCTCCGTCTTTCCGCCTAATTTCTTCTTTTTCCGCCTTTTCTCTCCTCTTTCTTTCCCTTTCTCCTCTCCCCTTTTCTTTCCTCTTTTCTTCTTCTTTCTCTCTTCCCTTTTTTTCTTTTTCCTCTCCTTTTTCTTTCCCCTCCTTTTTCTCCTTTTCTTTTTTTTTTGGCCGGGGGGGGGGGGGCACGTGCCCCCTGTGCCCCCTGAATCTCCAACTGGAGATGAAAGGCGGAAAAGATGCGAGGAATGTGACGAGAGGAGGAGCACGATAAAATAGAGAGTGTCGATAATTTGAAATCTCTTCTTTAATAAATTTTCACCTTACACAGCCGACTTGAAGACACCCTTAAACAAAAATTGGCCCAGCGAGACGTCAGCGTAATTTCTAACGCGCCGCGCGCGCCATGCACACTGCACTAGCAACACGGTCCCATTTGTAGCTCTTGGTCGATCGCGAGCTAAATATACTGTACAATTAATTAAACAGCTGAGTCTAGCTAGCTTTACAATTCTATCATGACGCGTCTTCGAATGACCAAGCATCTTGAAGAATGGATGGAGGTTCGCAAAATATACAGTGCAGAGATAGACAAAATCAATGCTAATCTGGGTGTGAAACCACTGAAATTGCCGGCATCGCATGACGAATTCGCGGGACACCTTCTCGACGTGCACCAACACTGGTGTAAAGCTTGTGTGCCTACCAGTACCGCATCGACAAAAAGGTAGGCGGCTAGCCTTGCTAACGTTACGTTAGTGTACTTTCTTATCCATTTTGGTGCTAGTTCAGAAGTCTATCCAAAATTTGATCCCATAACCAGATAACTCCGGCGTGGAGATACCCAACTAAAACCTACCCGAAATGAAGTAAATATTCATCAACTGTCCAAATAAAAAAAGATCATGATTTAAAAGTTGTCATGTTTCTTAGACTTGTTTTGTGTAAATTTTCTTGAATTAGGGTCTAACTTTTTTTTAGGGGGATTATTTTTCGGACAATATAGGCCCCCTACACTTTTTTTTTCACGGGTTTCACAGCAAGCCGCTGCACAATCCAAGTGCATACTGATGGTGGGTTGCGGGCGAGCGCACGCCTGTTTGAAATTATCTACCATCGGTCAGATCTTCGTTACGGTAGAGAACTTCACGCAGGCGTGTGCCTGGCCGTCCGCAACCCACCATCAGTATGCACTTGTAATTGTATTGGCGCTTGTTCAAAAGCCTCTCCAAAATTTGACCCGTAACTCCAGCGAAGAGATACCCTACTAAAACATACCCAAAATTAAGTAAATATTCATTAAATGTCCAAATAAGATCATGATTTAAAAGTTGTTATGTTTATTACAAGCGCCAAATAAGTTTTTATTTCATACCTTTCAGACCGAATTTGTGGACCGGTATACAATTTTTACACAGAGATTCAGTGTGCGTGTGCGTGCCGACCAAGAAATGCACACATTGAATACAAAGCTAGTAGTAGAGAGCGGCTGCTCTTAAAGGTAAAGACCAGTTATGGTCATGCGATTGCATTGTGAAAGAAACGTTGTGGAATCGATCAGAAAAGGTTGATCATCTAGCATCTAGCGTCTGCAAGGTTTTGGAATCATCAAAATGATAAGAAATTTGGCCCATTCTTCGTAAAGTTACAAGCACTATACACAGAAAGATGGGACTACCCTATATCTCTCACAGACCATGAGAGATACAAATTTACCAAATATATGAATTAGAAGGCGGTTTCCCGGCAAATTTTTTATCATCATGTATTAGTCAAAACATATTCTTTCACATGATTGGTAATGAGAGCTTCCATTTCATTTTTTGAAATTGGGGCGTTTCCAATACTGGTCTTTACCTTTAATTGTTACGGGGGCGATTTGAGATCATTTTCTTTTTTGATGTTGCCTCAGCTATAGTAATTGGAATTTGGGCTTATTTTTTGGGTTGCCAGCTGGGCAGCCAAGACAGGAATTTTAGGTTGCCCAGTGGCGTTTTAGGTGGTCAGTGGCACCCGGGCAACCTCTAATTTCGAGCCCTGCTCAATATTGGTTTTTCTAGGCATTGTATTTCGCAATGAATTTATTATAAACACATCACCATAACTCGATAAACTACATGAAGAGAAGGTCATATGAGAAATGGCAAAGATGAAATTTTGTGAGCTCTCTCTGTTGGTTTGGATGAATGTCATAGAAGAAGTATATACATATCTTCTGAAAAGGATTGCCCTTCAGTTGCCCTCATAATTGAAATATATTAAGAGAGAGGAAAAGTTTGGATCAAACTTCTATGCCACATGTGTTTGTCGTCCCATACCCATTTCTGTTTGCATGTGGTTTCTGCAAGATTGAGTCATTAATAATTTCAAAATATCACAGTAACACCAATTCTCCTATACACTTAATCAATCTTTGCTTATAATTGCTTCCTGACAGTTTCTTTCACAATGCAATCACTCTATCAGATCTCTGCTCTATCTTAAACTGAAAATGTTTTCTTCTTTTTTTTCTCTTCCAGATCCCTGCACACAAAGGTTAGTGTGTGTGTAGATCAATCAACTCAAACAATGTCTTTTTTTGATTGCTCTCCACCCGTGAAACTCGTGCCACCTTTAACAAGGATACAACCTAGTGGCCCACAGAAGATTAGAATAGATCGTGTTAGTAATCCACTTTCCAATGGTCCTAAGACTCCTAACATCAAAGTCATCTTGGTTAAAAAGTCTACAGCAGGAGTTCTGAGACAAGATTCTGGCAGTACTCCACAAGCTCTGAACAATCTAATGCAGCTTGGTTCAAACTTGCAGGCAGCACAGCCTCTGCAGGGAAACCTTACAGGACCTTCTCAGCCCCCAGCAAGTGGTGTTTTACACGGCCTTCTGACTGGAAAAAATATTTCTGGATCGACTCAAGTGGTGAAGATGGAACCTGTTGAATCCATGGAAGACTTTGAGCAGTTGCCTAAACAAGAGTTCTGTCAGGCAAAGTGCATTGATGAAAAAGATAATACAGAGGATTACATCTATGATGATGGTAGTATGACATTGGACGATGGGAAAGAACTTGATCCTGACAAAAAGCTGTCGAGAGCGACAGATCTTCCGGTCGCAGTCGTCGTGAAAGAAGAAGTTTTGTCAGACTTGGAACAATCAAACTTGGTGCATTCTGATAAGGAAGAGTCACTCTTTGATCCAAGACAGGACCGAGAATTTGGATCTGATAGCAAGCTCGAGCATTCTGAAACAGGGTGGCATGAGGAGGAGGAAGAGGAGAAGGAAGAGGACGAGGATGAAGAGGATGAAATGGAAGATGATATGGAAATAGACTATGAACCTACTCATGACCCTTCAGCCAGTATGCCCCAACATTTGGTAAGTTCATATAAAGATAATGTGAAACATAACAACATGTCTTCCAACATTTAGCCAAGTGTTGCTTCCGTTTACTTACTGGCAAGCCTGTCCTAGATTTTACAGTCAGAATTTGTAATGGATTTGTGGTCTTGAGAAGGAGGGATAAGGGATAGTGGATGTTAATTTTTAGGACAATTTTTTTTCTTCTTGGACTTAATCTATGCAAAATGACTCGGTCAGCACTCATCAGATTGACTAAATTATTTAACATATATATTACTCCTTCAGACATTAATCTACATTTGCCACACTCGACCCAGGTGCGGTAAATGGTGACATGGTAGGATTATTCCTTGAAGTGCACTGTGCGCTGGTAACGGCTGCTGGAGCTAAAGCTAAGTTAATAATCATGTAATTCATGTTAAGTGCACTGATATGTCTTAGGACAGGAATTGCGCAATATAAGTGGTAAATGTTATTATGATTTATATATTATTATAAGTCCTGACAGTTGAAGACCATCGGGTCATGCATTTTTTGACACTATCACATTCAAATGAATGTACATGTAATCTCTTGGTTTCATTTATTTACAACAGTCACAGAACAGCAAGGATAAACCAGGATCCAGCCAGGCTAAGTCTTCCAAGTAAGTATTCCTATAAAAAAACATCAATGGGGAAACTCCATGGTATTGTTCCACCAACCACATGTAACATTTTAGTGTATCTGATCAATTTGCATACAGTAATGGAAAATTTTATATTGATATCAAATTGCTATGAAAAAAAAGCAGCAACATTTAGAAAAGCAGATGGGGAAAGTTTGAATGAAATCGGAGAAATTATCAGAGAGTTATGATTATGACTTGAGGAAAGTTGAAATCACTATACGCATGTAAGAGAATATCCAGTTGGCTAAATCAGTAACGTCACTGTGATGTAGTGGCAAACAAGCAAGCCATGTATTCGAATTGGAGAATTCGTACTTGAGTAGTTGTCAACAGTGCGAGTACTCGAATACTCGAGTATTCCAGAACTCATCGGAGCATTACTCTGGAGGCCCTTTTCTCTTTGGAGGACCTACATGTTTTATGATATAATAGCGTTTGGGATGATTTTGCTACAATGGTGGCAGTGGTGGGATTTCTATTAACCACCCCCCCCCCCCCATCCTCTATTTCGCTACAATGGTGGCAGTAGCCTATCCGATAAGCGTCGGGCTAAATGGCAAGTGTACTAATCGCGTTATGGAGACTGACATCGGCGTGGGCGTCAGCCCGAGCGCCTATCATCACTGGTCAACTCATCATTATTCATATATGTGTATCGTATGTGTGACGAGCGTATTCTCATGCATGATTCATAAGACTAGCCTTTTTTGGTGATCGATCACTTTGATTCTACCAATCAAATATCGTCTCCAGGTTTCCCGTCACTCATTGCCCTATTTTGGTCCAGGCTACATAAATATTCATGAAAGAGCTTTTTCTACGAACAAGACATGGTACATAAAAGAAAATAAAACTTTTCGCATACACCAGTGATAATAGGCGCTCGGGCTGACGCCCGCGCCGATGTCACTCTCCAAATAAACGCGATTGGAATACTCGTAAAGCCCGACGCATATCGGATAGGCTATGGTGGCAGCGGTGGGATTTCTATTAACAACCATCCCCCACCCCCCCCACCCCCCCCTCCTCGATTTCGCTACAATGATTGCAGCGGTGGGATTTCTATTAACCATCCCCCTCCCCCTCAATTTTTGCTACAATGGTGGCAGCGTTGTGATTTCTATTAACCATCCCCCTCCCCCTTAATTTTTGCTACAATGGTAGCAGCGTTGGGAGTTCTATTAACCATCCCCCCTCCTCGATTTTCGCTACAATGGTGGCAGCGTTGGGAGTTCTATTAACCATCCCCCCTCCTCGATTTCACTACAATGGTGGCAGCGGTGGGATTTCTATTAACCATCCCCCCCTCCTCAATTTCGCTAAAATGGTGGCAGCGGTGGGATTTCTGTTAACCACCCCCCCTCCCCCTCGATTTTGCTACAATGGTGGCAGCGATGGGATTTCTGTTAACCATCCCCCCCTCCTTGATTTCGCTACAATGGTGGCAGCGTTGGGAGTTCTATTAACCATCTCCCCCCTCGATTTTTGCTACAATGGTGGCAGCATTGGGATTTCTATTAACCATCCCCCCCCCCCCCCCCCCTCCTCGATTTTTGCTACAATGGTAGTAGCGGTGGGATTTCTATTAACCATCCCCCTCCCCCTCAATTTTGCTACAATGGTGGCAGCGTTGGGATTTCTATTAACCATCCCCCCCCCCTCCTTGATTTCGCTACAACGGAGGCACCGGTGAGATTTTCTATTAACTATCCCCCCCCCCCCCCCCTCGATAGCAGATGGCAATTTCAAGTTTTGCGAGGACGCAAATTTTATATCGCTTTGGAGGCTTAGCTATGCTGGAGTCGATTCAACCCAGAGTCAAGTTTCTTTGTGTCTCGCGGATCCGACAACAGTGGCACTGTTAGCTCTGTGTGTGGTCTTGAGGCGGCGTGCAACTGATTTGTCAAAATTGTGTTCTTAGCTTAATTAAAATCCAAGTTTTAATTTAAACCTCTATTCACAAAAAACTACATAAAAATCGCTGCAATCATGATGGAAACAAGATGTTCATATTAAGATATTTTTTATCTGTGGATGAAATAAACAGATATAAGGCATATTTTGTATGGAACAAATTGTACAGAGATGCACTCTTCTACACTTTACACCTAAAACATTGTACACATGCATCACTCAAGGCTGCGACACCTCTAATGCTTGTTTATGTTTCTTTCCTATTTGCTGTAGGTGTCTTGATGACCAGGACAGCCTTGAATATGGAGGAGATAGTGATGAAGACGTTGAGGGTGAACCTGCTCTTAAAAGAAAAAAACACCAGAGCAAAGCTTCCAAACCAGCCTTTAAGTTCCCAGAAGCATGCCCAATCTGCTCTGAGGCCTGGAAAGAGAAACCAGATATTATGCGCCATTTACACAAACACATCCCGATTGATAAGGGCCCAGAAGCGATCAAGGATGCCGTCCAATCAATCGAAAGCCAATTAAAGGGGCACGATTTTGACATGGGATGGTGTGGTGAGTGCAAAAAACTCCTCTTGCGTTATAGATCACACATGAACAGAATCCACAACAAGCATAGAGATCGTGTCGTACTGTGTCAGCAGTGCGGTAAAATGATCAGAAGTTTCTGTATCAAACAGCATCAGATCTCACACCTAGAGGTCAAGGAAAGCGATTACGTCCAATGTCCAGAGTGCCCCTCAAGGTTTAAGCACCGGATGTACCTCAGGGGTCACATTAGGGATGTTCACAGCAGGAAGGGTTTCGAGTGTTCTACCTGTGGCAAGATCTTAAAAAATCGGGAATGTTTCAGGCGACATGAAGCAATCCACAGCGGAGTTAAACCCTATCCATGCTCCAAGTGTGACAAGTCGTTCACTCAAAGAAGCAATCTCAAGGTACACATGCGGCAGCATACAGGAGATAAGCCCTACGTTTGTGAGTTGTGTGAGATGGCGTTTACCAATAAGGTCAGCTTAAAGAACCACAAGAAGAAACTGCATGGGATTGACTGGTGGAAAGAGAGAGAATCATTTGAAAAGGAAGATGATTGAAACAGGAAGATCCTGAGATAAATCAAAGTGTTGGCTCTGAATAGAGAAAACAAAAGATCTGATTTGTTGATATATATAAGGAAAGGCCAGACAAATAATACTCAAACAGGACTCGTCTCGGCTTTAATTACCAAAAGATGATTGCTAATTTTAGACGACAATTATATATATATATATATCATATATACACATGTAAATCTATGTGAAATAACTGTGAGAGCAGGGAAGCACGCTATCTATTTCACAAGCAGTCTGTATTGAATTTGGTTTGTGTTCATTAGCCCCCTGTTATAATTTGACATCGGGATGTTTGTTTTTATGCCTCCGCCACACAAAGTGAGTACCGGAGGAATGTTTTCGGGTTGTCCGTCCGTCATTATTCATGTGAACCCAGAAACTTAAAGGTAAAGACCAGTATTGGAAACGCCCCAATTTCAAAAAATGAAATGGAAGCTCTTATTACCAATCATGTGAAAGAATATGCTTTGACCAATACATGATGATAACAAATTTGGCAGGAAACAGCCTACTAATTGATATATTTGGTAAATTAGTTTATCTATTGGTGTGTGAGAGATAAACGCATGTGTCGCACACGTGTGTGTAGTACCATATACATCTTTCTGTGTACAGTGCTTGTAACTTTACAAAGACTGGGCCCAATTTCTTATCATTTTGATGATTCCAGAACCTTGCAGTACACACCAATACTTATATGCTAGATGATCAACCTTTTCTGATCGATTCCACAACGTTTCTTTCACAATGCAATCCCATGATCATAACTGGTCTTTATCTTTAAGAACGAATCGAGGTATCATAGTTAAACTGGGTGAGAGTATGTATGACCATGTAAATATGACCTGATTAAATTTTGGGATCAAGTCTAGGTGAAAGGTGAAAGGTCAAGGGTCAATTTAAATGTGCTAAAATATCTTGTGACCATGATAATTTGAGAACGAATTGTGCTATCATAGTTAAACTTGTTGAGAGTATGTATGACCATGTAAAGATTACCTGATCACATTTTGGGGTCAAGAATTCCAACGATAGAAACTTTTAAGAATAATAAAATTCTTCAGTTACATGTACAACTGTATGCTTGGTTAGCTGGAAACTTCCTCTGTTGTCAAATTTCCCTTTTCTCTGAATCCTTAAAAAATCCTAAATAAAAATGTAATTTTTATATATATTGTTCATTCTACCTCCAATAAAATGAGGATGATTATGAAAACACATGTTTGCTATTGAGGGGTTCCATGACGCTATACTGTCTTCAAAAAGTATGAGCTTGGATTATTACATCTTTAAAGCTGTTGCAGTTTAAGTACAATCTCAGCAAACATAAAATGACTTGTTGAGTAGACTCATGGATGTATGCGTATTCGCTCGCAAGGAACTCAAGTCGGACTTGTGCAGGAATTTGTTATCCTTTTATTTTATTCTCCTTGAATTCGTTAGTTCATTTTATATTCTAACCATATAACACGTGACTGGTACACTTTAAACAATTTTCTGATTAGTTTTAGTTTTATGTTTTATGTTTTATATGACAGATTATACATGTACAGTAGTTATAAATTAAAGTTATACATGGAGGACCTCAAATTACAATTCATTTGCAATTCTTGCCATAAGAATTGGACAACTTTGCTTTATGGCTGAGTCATTATGTTTTTACTTCCAAAACCGTTAAAAATAATCACAAAAATAAGAGATGTGAGTTGGTCTAGCGGCACATTCACTTGGTCAGCTCTCTGTCTTCGTCTACAAACTGGCTCTGACGACCCCGGTTCGATACTGAATCATGTCTTCTGGATGGTGACATTACAGGTCGCTTTCCAGACGTAAATAATCACATCTGATTGAAACACAATAAAAACCGAATTACACACATGCATATCAACAAAAGTTAAAAGTTTATAAGTTGCATAAGTTGACTTTTACCTCCTTTTCCTTTGCAGTTTCTGGTTATAACGTTTGGCAAAATTGTAATTAGCTTTGGTTTTAAGTTTTAACGTCATTAATTTTGTTTTGTTTTTTGTGTTAACTTTGGGACTCAGTAATGATGCTTTAATGAGCTTTTGTCAATGGGATGGTACTATTGAAACTAAAATAACTTAAATTTCTGTTGAATTTGCGTTGTTAGAAATCTGTTTGATTTTTACACAAGTGTATTTTTGTATTAGTATGAATAGTATTATCGTATATTTGTATTCAATCAATTACATATGTAAATTGTTGCATGTACCAGTATTCTTTTCTTGTCCTAATTGAGGGACATAAATGTGTTTTTATTGTATGAATATGAATGAGGTGAAACAATTATACATGTAGTATGATGTCAGCTTTTGTTTCTTGAAAAAACGTGATCACACCCACAAAATCCCCAAAGTCCTTAAAGTCACATGGTAAGATTTTAAGGGGTACATGGCTGTATTTTGTCAGAAAGGTAAAGTTTAAGTTGCATGTATTACCCGAAAGAGTATATTTTTATGAAATTCAAACATCTACCGGGTTTACCTTATATTAATTATGCTGTGCTTGCTTGGGGCAAATCTCTAATAACACAATTAGATAAACTGTTCTTGGCTCAAAAGAGGGTAATAAGAACAATCTGTAATGCTGACTTTTGTGCTCATACAAATCCTCTTTTTTATCATCATAGGATTTTAAAGGTAGAAGATATTTATTATATGCAATTGGGTTCCTTAATGTATGATCTCAACTCAGGTGTATTGGCATTAGCCAAGATTTTCAAGAAAAACAATCAAATTCACAATTATACCACAAGAAGTGCTTCTGCATTCCACTTACCCCATGCAAGAACAAAGTTTACTCTCAACTCTTTAGTTTGCAATAGGCCAAGGTTTTGGAGCACTCTTGACTCCTGTCAGTATAATTATGTCTTCAAACGTAAACTGAAGTTGTACTTATTGAATAATTACTAAGTTGATTCTTAATCTATGCTGTCGTGATTTATATTAGAACTTAATCCATTCCTCAATTTACTACTGTATAGCAACTGCCGACTTACCTTTTCCCTTTTTTCGCCTGTAGCTAGCTTTCAGCTTACAGTGAAAGTACATGTATGTCCATTTTTCTCCCCCCCCCCCCCTCTCTCCATTTCTGTATTCCACGTTATTATCAATCTTATCGCCCCCTTTTGTACATAGTCTCTTCTCCTCACCCTTTCTTATTACTCAGTTAAACCATGTTTATAATCATATGGTTATAGTTTATAGTTATTTGTTTTACCGTAGTACTTAGTGCCTTTGACAAACATTTCTTGTATTAATCTTTTATATGACCAGGCCGTTTTTTGTTGTTGTTGTCTATATGTTATTGCTTTGAGGGACCTCTACAAGCTAAGCTTTACTTAGGTATCCTCGTCTTTTCTTCTTTTTTCTCTCACTTAAATGCATTATATGAACTTGATCCTTATAAGTGTTCCTTTTATATACTCTACATGTTATAAATTGTATTACATTCATGTTGGAAGAAAGACAAATAAACTTGAACTTGAACATCTAGAACCACCAAAGCTTGATGATCTGCTAATCTCTTCCAAGAAATTTCTATAGAGTTCTACATGTAATTCTCCTGTTGTAACTTTGCACAGCATTTTTGCAAGTCAGACTCGGTATACTTCCAACTCTAAATGCGCTAATCTTCAAAATAACCTTCTTTTGAACCTCACAATTTCATCTGTATTTTTGTTGTGTATTGCTAATTTTGATAAGTTCTATATACATGTTTGTAGTATTTCAGAAACGGACCTTGATAAACTAAAAAATCATCTCTGGCAACTTGTTGGTGGTTTTGTTGTACTGGCTAACCAAGATCATACATGTATTATAATTCCATTCAGTAATGATCCGTCATTTGGTTCAGGGTTTGTATCATGAAAGATAATAAATAGGATTCAGGTTACTCTAAGCAGCTATTTAAAAATTGCCAAGTTGAACAGAGTAGGCTGAATCAGTAGGAAGTCTTATCCATAGCAGGCAGCTCTACCATGTGCTAAATTGATTGAAAATCCTGTTGTTTTAAAAATGTTTTTTTACTTGTAAAAATAAAGGAGAAAAAAAAGAGAAATGCAATCATAGTAAAAGTTGTCATTTTGTCTTACAAGCACATGAACTGTATGTATAAAACCAGTCGTATGACAATGTGTCCTGCGGCGATTGCTCTTTAACTTCATACACCAGATGAATACGGAGCTTCAATCCTGTACCGCCATCAGTAGACCTAAACCTAACACAATAAATCAATAATGTATTTATTTTACCAATTTATATACATGTGTATGTACCTTGGATTCATTTATGCACAGCATGTGTGCACCATCTTCACTACCGGGGAGTGGCCCACAAGCCACGCCTCCCTTTTCCGACGTTACAGCTTAAGGTCGATTCTGAAGACAATAGGGCAAATTTGTCCCAGAGAATAGGGTGATGTTTTCACCCGAATTTCGCTTTTACGGAAGTGTATTTTGTTTGAATGTCATTCAAGGTCATTGTATGGCTTATAAGCTTTCTGTAGATATGAATATATTCCTATTTAGAGATCTCCTATGAATATCAACTTTAAAGTTGATACTTATAGGAAATAAAATCAATTAAATATAGTTTATTTTATAATTGAATGAGTTATTAAAAACTGAGGAAAAAAATCAGCCCAAAGACGTAAAATAAGCAACAACAAAAAAAAATTGACCGACCAACCCAGGTGCTGCACCTAAAGCTAGGCAATACAACTTCTTTTTGTTTAGGCCTGAATCGCCTGATCCTACCAGGTCCCTCTTCCACTCGGAGTCTGGCTAAATCAGCTCAAAGCCAACTCGGCCCAGCTGCAAAAACGGTCAATTTTTGCAGGCTTAGGGTTAGGATTAGGTTGAGGGTTAGAGTTGGGGTTATAGGGTAAGTGTAAAATGCCAAAAACTGACCGTTTTTGCATCTGGGCCGACCAGCCGAGTTGTCTTTGAGCCGAGTTAGCCCGGATTCTCAGTGAGCACTTTTATTTTTTTTTGTTACTCATCTCCCCCCCCCCTTCCCTGTTGAGCCCCCCCCCCCCCAAAAAAAAAAAAAATGCATATGATCTCCCTCAAAGCAGTTCCCCAAAGTGCATATAGTACCACCTCCATCTCGGACCAACTTGCCATGATGACGCCCTAGCTTCCATCGACCCAGTCTTACTCAGCATAACTTCCAAAAGTCAGGGGCAGATCCAGGATTTTTCCAGGGGGGGGGGGGGGGGGGGGCTTAAATGTACGAAATTGCGAGCATGAAGCCGGTGTGGGGTCCAGGGCCCACTTAAAGGTATATGTCCCATTTGCAGGCCAACAAAATGAAAATGTTAAATTCCAACGGCATTTGAAAGATAATACTATTTTAGAACTTCCCTAAAAAAAAAGGGGGGGGGGGCTTGAAAATGTCTCTAAGTGGGATAGGGACTATTAGTTGTCGAGTCGACTTAAGAACTATAGAGCCAGTAAGTAATAGTCTGATTTTCAGACCATTGTACCGAATGGTCGTATGTTTTAGCTGTGCAAAGATTCAATCAGTTTAATTTTGGCCATTGCAAGAAGTGGGTTATTAATATTAATGTAGACAAATGCTCATGTACCCTTTTTATATATGCTATTAAACAAAGAAGAAAAAAAGCCAGTCAGTCGTTCAATAGTGTCTGACAGTGAAGTCTAGCATGTAAACGGATTTCCTTGCATAATTTGATGAATATTAGGACACGGCTAACGTTTAAATTTCACAGGTAGGACATACATGACATATTACTAATTCCTACAAAGTTCTACAGAATTTGATTTTGGCCGCAAAAGGGACAGAGTATCTGAAAATAGTGAACTTGATCGCACATTGTGAGGCATTTCTGAATATGAGTTAACTGAATTTATGTGATTTTTTTTTTAAGACAAAAGGGGAGGAGTCATGCGCCCCACGCCCCCGCGTGGAAGTGATTATCGAAGGAGATGAACTATAGGCCTATATATGTTCTTCACTCGATTTAAACAAAGTTTTTCTTGATAAACTCTGTTTTATATCGGCGAGAAAACGGGGTTTATCTGAATTATTGGGTAAATGGCGCGCCATACACGTACACGTGATTGGGTATACTATGGGTATAGTACGGTTAAGTTGGAGCGCGCCTGCCTGACGTTGAGGCGACCTCGACGTCAAATCGCGACGGAACCTACCGACGGTACGGTACATACACATAACAGTGCATGGCCCGCGTGGGACTACTACAACTTCACTTGGAGTAGGGCGTTCATGTATGCTCTGTAGCTGTGGCATAATTGGCAACAATCAGGCAATTATTCATAATACCAGTAGATCTATATTCGTGGTCATTCTTTTTTCATCGTGAGAGTGCTATTTGTGACTTTGTCTGTGACGTGAGCAAGATTCGGATCGTGATGGCAGAGAATTCATCTGATTCTGACAACGTCAGCGATCATGATGATAGAACAAGTTCCTTGCCAGGCCCGAGGCCGCCAAGAAGGAGATTAAAACGGAGGTATTCGGGCTTTCGCTGCATGTCAGGTGGGTGCTGCAACACGGCATATGACGGGTACTTTGTTCATAACATGGCTGGAGCTATGCCGATAGAAGGGACGAGTTTCACCACAACTCAGCTAGCTTGGGTTGATTTCGTAAGTCAGATGAGGCCGGAGTTTGATCGCGAAGTAGCAAGGACATACAAGAGAATATCATTATGCAGTGGCCACTTCCGAGAGGAGGATTACGAGTCAACGCAGTTAAAAATGTACAAGCACGGGCTGAGATCGAAGCCGCCCCAACTGGAGAAAGATGCGATTCCAACCATTTATGTTGCAAAGCAACTATTTCCTCCGGACTGGTTTGTCCCACTGCAAGTTCCAACGCCAATGGAAAGCTTCTTTATCTTGAAAAAGGTATTAAAGCCTTAAATACAAATAAGCAGAACATAAAACTGACTGTCTATTTTGTGATTGGCATGCTCATTTATTCATGTTTATTGATTTAAAGGTAGGGGTCTATTACAAAGTTTTGGTATGGGGGCATGAATTTGGTTCAAATTAACATATTTGAAGCATATGCGTTCCTACAATATTCAGTGATCGTTGTCCCGGTTGAAATCGAGTCTAAAATTATGAAATTATAAATAATAGACTCTTTATGCTGTATACAGTATAGCTCCCTCTCAAGGTCAAAATATTAATTAAGCTATGAAACATTGTTTCTTGACTAAAATCGACCGATTAGCTTTTCCCGTTTGGAAATTATATATCACAACTACATATTCTGAGATTTTCATGGTCGCAGCTACCATTGAACGGCCATAGGCGCTATTTGAAATTTATCAAAATTTACCAGGAGCACCTGTAAATTTTTATATTCAATTTTTCTCGAAAACAGAAGTGTTTTAGGGGCTAATTTTTTTAGTGCTTATAATATATCCACAGGGGCATCCAAATATATCAAAATTGTAAAGATTCACTATCCACCCAAATTTCAAAATTTCCCAAAACTTTGTATTACCTTTAATGCTCCTTGCAAATTAGCTGGTCTCAGTGGCGGATCCAGAGAAGGGGGGAAGAAGGAAGATTGGCCAGAGAGCAATCTTCAAATTTCAGGACACTAAATTTCAAATGGATTTCAAATTGGGCCACCCCCCCCCCCCCCCCTAAGAAATTCTAGATCTGTGCCTGGCTGGTCTAGTATGTGTCTAGGCCTACTATAGTAGTCGTATAGATTCTAGACCTAGATCATCTAATTTTTTTGTTTTCAGGCACAATCTTTCATTTAAAATTCATTGAGACCTAAAATATTTGATGGCCCAAACTTTGCCACCAAACTTACATAAATATGATAAACAATTAAGTACTAAACGTATATTCATGCCTCTTTCCAGGTGTTCTAATTCTTAAAGCTTATCTGCCATAGTTTACAGGAGGGATTAGAGTGCCCTGCAAGGTCACTGGACAGGTGGTTATCTCATCAACTCAGCTCTCAGTTAACATAAGAAAAAGAGGATTATGGGGGACCAATGGTCACCGATTATGCATTGTTTGTTATATAGAGGGCGCAAGTAGCTACAAGTAGTGCAGTGGCCCTTTAAACTAAAAGGAAATACAAATTAGATACTTTCAAACATTCACTGTGATACCGCTTATGGGTTGGGTTTAAGCCCATAATTAAGGTGCATTGTCGGTAATTTTTGTAAAGTGATGGGAGGGTTTTCATCACGGAGTTAAAAATTACAGAAATTGGATGTAATTTGCTCAAAAAGCACCTAATCTCTATCATAAATGAATTTAAAGGCCTTCTGTACTAGTTTGCCCAGAAGAGATTAGACTACACAGTGAGGTCACTGACAGGTGGCTTTCTCATCAACTCAGCTCATGGGGACCAACAGGCACCGATTGGGGAAGTTTTTTATACATTGAGGGAGCAAGTACATGTAGCTACAAGTACCGGTAGTACAGTGGGGCTTAAACACAACTTATATTTCCAAAATCTTTTTTTTTTTGCAGAGCCGTGAATGCCATCGAGGAACCCAGGTTGACATCAAACCAGTAACGGTACAAAAACACTACCGGTCAAGGGCCGTCAGTGTGCGTAGTACATATTGGTCTAGGAATAAAAGTAAGTGAAATTAAAGAATACATTTATAGAAGGGATTTTTTTTTCCTGGGATTTTTTGAAGAAGATTTAGTTGAACTTTAATTTTTATTAATCAGATTAATAATCCTAAGGCGACAACCTGCATTGATGGAAGACATTTGATTGTAACATTTTCATGGAAGGTTCTTATGAGCTAGCTTAGCCTCTTCCCCCAGGGTTCAACCAGAAGTTATATTTGTTTTTTCTATAAAATGAAAACCCGTATTTTTTCTCATCATCCTCCTCAAATTTTAGCTTCAAAGTCACTATACTTTGACTGAGAGACATCGCACTAAATATGCTAAATATTTATTTGTATACCAATTTCTATTTTAGTATGTATTTTTCATATCAGCCTCATCCACAGTGTCATTACTTATTTTTGCCTCCTGAGAGTAAATATGAAGTAAATTTGAGGTAAAAGGGAACAGAATGTTTTCCAGGGGTCAAGGTCAATTTAATAGTTTAAAGTGGAAATGGACATACCGTTATTAAAATGGAAACAAACCCCTTTAATTACTTTCTTGGTCCGGATCTGAACCCAAATCCAAAAGCAACCCATCCGGCACAGATTTCTATCTTGAATCTAGTAAAATGTAAAAGGCATGTTATAGTGAATTAAAAAAAAGGTTGGCCCGTTGCATAAAACTTACCATTGATGGTAACTTTGCCATCAATGGCAACTACCATGGTAACAGGGCTCAACAGCCAATCAAAATCAAGGCTTCCATGCCATATTGATGGCGAAGTTACCATCAATGGTAAGTTTTGTGCAACGGGCCCTGGAATGTAAAAAGTACAAGTGCTTATCATTATATTTTTTTGCAACTTTCCCCTATTTTGTAGTTCCTTTTGTAGTTACAGATTAGTTAAATTAATTACTCATTACTCCTAAGTTTCATTTGAGGTGTTCACACTTGTACAAGCATTGCTTTTCAGTGGACCCCTCTGTTTCCAACATGTATTTCTTAAATTTGTTTTAAATGCTTATAATTGATTTGTAATGTTTTGTTGGAAACATGAATAAATTTGAAATTGAAATTGAATTGAACTTACGTGCATCTCTGATTGGGTACAACCTTGCCTTTCCCCTTTTTAAGGAATACAAACAGAAAAGATCCGCGTTCAAACCAAGGACTCATGGACACAATATGAGGAGGATCCAACCAGCCAGGCTACTGAAGCAGACACAGCTGGAGACCCTGAAGCAGACATAGAAGTGGGGCCATCGGAGGAAGTAGATGGGCCATTGGAGGAAGTAGATGGGCCACTGGAGGAAGTAGATGGTCCACTGGAGGAAGTAGAGTGGGCATGGGAGGAAGAGGATGAGCCACCGGAGGAAGAAGATGAGCCACCGGAGGAAAAAGATGAAGTCAGGCTCAAACGGGAAGCGAAAGCCCTAAAGAAGGATCCTGACTACAGTCCACGGGATGAGCTTCGTGGTCCTAGAGCCTGTAGACCAAAATTGATTCCTGACATGTAAGATACCTTCATTCTTGTGGAATCTTAAGGTTTCTTTATTTGTTCTTATTTCCCAACATGAATATTTTGGCTTCTTGATATGCAGCTAGCAACCTTTTTTTAAAGCCTACTTTTAGTGTATAATGTGTTGTGCTTTGAAATAAATCCAAAGTCCTGAGTGCCCGGCCCCCCACTCAGTGTTATTTAGGGTATGCATATGCGTGTTCCCTCCTTTAAAAAAACACCCCCCTAAGTCCGGTGTGTAAAGTCAATACGGGCCAGATTTTTGTGTACTACGAGCCGGACTTTGGTGGGTGAAAAGCACCCCTTTACCGGACATTTTGGTAACATGCATGGTATCCCTCCGTTCTCGGAGTGGGGGAGCCGGGCCTGAGTGTGATTCTTTAGACAACAAATGAAATAGGATGACAAGTTAAAGTCGAGTGATTGACTATTTACCTTTTCCATGTGATGTTTTGTTTTAAAGTGTTTGTGTACGTATGTATTTTCACAGACAGTCCCAGTGCCAATTAAAATGGTTTCCAGTGGACTTGCCGCATGCTAACTATTGCACCAAATTCCTGCAACCACATTGCATCTCATATTTCGTGAACGCTGACCATGTAGAGATTAAGTTGCTGACTACCATTAATCAAGTCAATTCATTTACGTGCAGCGGTCCAAAAGAAGACGCAGTCGGCAGATGGCGTAAAACCAGTATTTGCCAAGCTACACTCCCTTTAAAGTGTTAATGAATATGTGCATGTGTAAGATTTTCTTGTACAATATTGAAAATAGAGAATGAAAATGAGAAACAATGAGGATTGCGCTCTGCATGTCAACTGTTGAACTGCATGGTATTGACAATCACAGTCAAGATGCCTCTCTTTTCTCATTTTTTTTTCTTCTTGATCATTGTGTTTGACTTGACTCTACAAGATGGTTTAATGCCCATCAACATTCAAGTGGTAAAATACCCTAGTTTTCCTTTTTTTTTTCTTTAGAGACTCATTTATTGATGAAGGGCTATGCTCACTCATGTGTTAATGATTTACTAATTGCATATCTTCTTAAAGGTAAAGATCAGTTATGGTCATGCGTTGCACTTTGAAAGAAATATTGTGGAATCGATCAGAAAAGGTTGATCATCTAACATATAAGTATTGGTGTGTACTGCAAGGTTCTGGAATCATCAAAACAAGCACTGTACACAGAAAGATGTATATGGGAATACGCAACACATGCGTGATATCTATCAGGTCCAAATATATATAATAATTTACCAAATATATCAATTAGTAGGCGGTTTCCCGGAAATATTTCTATCATCACGTACAGTATTAGTCAAAACATAGTCTTTCACGTGATTGGTAATAAGAGCTTCCATTTCAATTTTTGAGAGGGGGGGGGGGGTTCCAAAAATGGTCTTTACTTTTAAGGAGGATTAATTTGAATGTCAATTTCGATATATGAAAGATAAGTTATATTAAATATTTGTTTGAAAATCTTAATTATAAAAAGTGTCCACTTATTTTCATGAGTGTATATGAACGATTGCATCTTGCAATGGTTGCAATTGTCCAGAAGCAATTTTTGTCACTTTCTATCATCCAATAACAAATCTGTGGATGTGACCATTAAAACATAGATCTTAAGGGACTGCTACTAAAACAAGATGTTCATATTAAGATATTACTTATCTGTGGATGAAATGAACAGATAAAAGGCATTTTTGTATGGAACAAATTGCACAGAAGCACCCTTCTACACTTCACATCTAAAACATTGTACACTACATGTAGCATCACTTGAGACTGCGATACCTCTAATGCTTGTTTATGTTTCTTTTCTATTTGCTGTAGGTGTCTTGGTGACCTGGACAACCTTGAGAGTGATGACAGCTTTGAATATGGAGAAGATAGCGATGAAGACTCTGAGGGTGAACCTGCTACTAAAAGAAAAAAATGCCAGAGCAAAAATCGCAAACCAGCCTTTAAGTTCCCAGAAGAATGCCCGATATGTTCTGAGGTCTGGAAAGAGAAACCAGAAATGATTCACCATTTACAAAAACACATCCCGATTGATAAGGGCCCAGAAGCGATCGAGGATGCCGTCCAATCAATTAAAAACAAATTTGAAAAGGGGCACAATTTTGACATGGGATGGTGTGGGGAGTGCAAAAAACTGTTCTTGCGCTTTAAATCACACTTTGACAGATGCCACAACGATGATCCAAGGTGTAGTGTACTGTGTCAGCAGTGCGGTAAAATGATCAGAACTACATATATCAGAACGCATGAGATCTCACACCTAGAGGTCAATGAAAGCGATTACGTCCAATGTCCACAGTGCCCCTCAAGGTTTAAGCACCAGGAATACCTCAAGGGTCACATTAGTAAGAACCACAACAATAAGACGAGGAAGGGTAAGCAGTGCTCGACCTGTGGCAAGATCTTGAGAAATCAGTTACATCTTGAGCGACATGTATTGATCCACAGTGGAGTTAAGCCTTATCCATGCTCAATATGTGACAAGTCCTTCACGCAGAGTAGCAATCTCAAGATACATATGCGGCAGCATACAGGAGATAAGCCGTACGTTTGTGAGTTGTGTGAGATGGCGTTTACCAATAAGGTCAGCTTAAAGAACCACAAGAAGAAACTGCATGGAATCGACTGGTGGAAAGAGAGAGAATCATGGAAAAAGGAAGATCCAGAGAGAAATAAAAGTGATGCCTCTGAATGAAAAAAACAAATGATCTGATTCGTTGATGTATGCCTAGGAAAATGCCTGACAAACAACACTCGGACAGGACTCACCTCAGCTTTAATTACCAAAAGATGATTACTAATGTTGGTCGACAGTTATACATGTAAATCTATGTCACTGTAAAATAACCAATTCGAGTAGGGTAGCACGCTATCTATTTCACAAGCCGTCTGTATTGAGATGTTAATATTTGTGTGCAACTAGGCCCCCTGTTAAAATATTTGAACATCGGAGGGAGTGGAGTAGTAAAGTTAAGGGGCCAATGTGCTCGGGATGCCTGTGGTTTTTTAATTTATTTGTTTATCCTTGTTTAGAGTTCGGATGTAGTTTGAGGGAAAACTGATGAAATGATTGGAATCATGATATGTTACTCTATTCAGTTACATGTACATGTACATGTATGCTTGGTAAGCTGGAAAATTCCTTTTGTCAAAATTCCCCTTTCCCTGAATCTTTAAAAAAAGAATGTACTACAAACATACTTTTTACATTGATTATTTTGATCATTCTTTTGGACTGCACATTTCCTCTCAACTTTTGTGGTGCGTTAAAAATTATGATGAGGTCTATTATTATTAAGTATTTGGCCTCATCTGTGCCTGGGAGGCGAAAAGCAAACTGAATAACTTTAAACCCTTGGGTCTCTCCTCCCGGTGTGACTGATTGGGCGTGTGTGCAGGTGGAACACTACACTGGGGTTTCCCCCTACTCTTATACAAATAGTGCAGTGGGTTCTTCACATGCAAAGATGACGACTCTCCTCTAGACGGGGCCTCCATCTAATGTCCTATACGAGGCAGGGCGCGACAAACCCGCTTGCCCGACGTCCCGGGGCAACCAAATTGAGCCGTCGGGCAAGTAAATCAAATTATCACTTGCCCGATTCGGGCAAGTGATACTTTTACAGTAATTTCCTAGTGTCCAAGAACTCTACCATTCACCCGTCAACTTCTTACCCGTCGTCAAAATCCAGAAGCAAAAAAGCGATCGTTCCGATTTCGAAAAAACTTCACAGACAGCTAAGCCAGCTCAGCTAGCTCAGCGCGCATGCAACAGTGACACTTCAAGCCATGAATGCCGCTCCGCCTCCACGCACGGCCGGCCGTGAGCTAGCTAGAGACAGCTAGCGCGATCGTACCAGCTGCGAGCTTATTCGCGCTCTCTCTCTCTAGCTCTGCAGGCCGCACCGACAGGCCTTTGCTATTCTCTGATTGCCGATTGGTTGAATCACGCCAAATATGACGTCATTATTCTAGGGAAATGAACACGTGCGAATCGGAATGGAATAAACAACAGGGATTTTCTAGTAAGTACAAAAAGTCAAATGTTTGATATTTATTCATAATGACTGTTAATGATTGTGAACATATTATTTAAAACTCGCTGCTCATATAAATCAGATGAATGTTTTTGTCTCGTTTTCAATTTATTACTGCGGTCTCAAGATCCGACCGAGCGAGTCATTTTGATAATAGTATCGAGACCCCCAGAATATAAGCCGTTGTTGTTTTGTTTTCATGGTTTTAGCGACGTTGTTTAGTCTAGTTTTCGCATACTTATCCGAGATTTATCGTAAAATATCTTCAATATTATTATTTAGTAAGAATTTACAAATTTTGGCATGATATTTATAGCAGTGAATGATGAAATAAAAATGTCCGTACTTTATTTAAAATAGTTGATTACCCATTATTTACATGACGTTTCTTGATGGAAGAGTTGACCCAAATTATTAACAGCTGAAAATTAGCCTACGTTTCCAAATGACAGCGGCTTGCACAGACACACACGTGCGTTGATCAGCTGTTTTTTCTCGATTGTGCTAGTAAACAATCAATAAAATGCGTTTTTTAAACCTTCAACCATCCTTTGTTGACCATTTTCTTTGACATATTAGGTTATTATTCAGTACAGTTACACTGTACATGTATGTGCATTAATTTGCTATCTAAAACACTAACTTATCATTACGAGATAATAAATGCTTTAACCTCGAGCCCTTTTTCGCTTTAAAGTTTTGGGCAAGTGGAAATATTGTTTGGGCAAGTAAATTGAAAACCCACTTGCCCGACAGGGCAAGTGGTGAAAAAAATTCTTGTAGCACCCTGCGAGGGGACGGAGTGTTTTCCACTTAACATAGCCTGTTTCTATGAAACAAGGCGAGGGTCAAGTTAACACACATCGCAGGTTTCAGTCATCCGCCTGGGTTGGATTCGAACCCGAGATCTTTGGTTCGACAGGCAGGCGCTTTACCGACTGAGCCAACTCGCCGCCTTATGTACATTTAGTATTTCAGAAACAGAGCTTAACTAAAAAATTCATCTCTGGCAACTTGTTGGTGGTTTTGTTGTGCTTGTTAAGATACATGGTACTGTACATGTGTTATAATTCCATTCAGTAATGATCCATTATTTGGTTCAGGGTTTGTATCATCAAATATAATCAATAAGATTCAGGTTACTCTAAGCAGCTTTTTAAACATTAAACGGAGTATAGGCTGAATCGGTATGTAATCTTATCTATAGCAAGCAGCTCAATCTTGTGCCAAATGTGATTGGAAATGCTGTTCATTGTTTAACAAATGTATTTTTACTTGTAAAAATAATTTTATAAAAAAAAAAAGAAGAGAAATGCAATCATAGTAAAAAGTTGTCATTTTGTCTTACAATCACGTGAACTGTATGTAAAAAACAGGTTGTACGACACTCTGTCCTGCCACGATTGCTCTTTAATTTCCAACACTAGATGAATTCTGAGCTTCAATCCTGTACCCATTGCTTGACCTACCCGTAACCCTTTAAATAAATAATATCTTTATTTTACCAATTTATATACATGTGCATTTACCTTGGATTCATTTATGCACAGCGTATGTGCACCATCTCGGCTACCAGGGAGTGTTCCTACCATGTAATCATAGCAAGGGCAAACTATCACTAAAGCTTTCTTCATCCTCCCAGGTCCTTATTTCACTCCTGGGCATAGTGGGGCAAATAAAGATTTTTTTTTTGTAATGCTCTACTCTTTTTCCCTTATCTGCTTGGTATTTTCTTTGTTTTCTTTTCTTTTTCCTATTCCCCTTTTGCATCTTCAAATGTTCTATTCCTTTTTCCTTCTTCATCTCTCTTCCTCAATCATACTTTCCATATATCTCCTTTTCTTAATCTTTTTCCCCCTCTCTCACTCACTATCCATTTCCCCCCTCCACCTACTCCCCTTTTGTGTCAAAGGTTCAATTGCTTTCTTCAATTTTCTTACCTTCCATCACTAGTCAAACCCCTTTCTTTCACTTAATTAAGATATGCATGTATGCTGCATTTAGGCAAATATAAGAAAGATATACATGTAAATAAAGTTAAATGTCACTCAAGTATATTTTATTAGTACATGTTTTATTGCAAAATCACACACTTGTTGAGAAATAGACATGTCCTATTAAAGGAAGAGCAGTGATTGGAAAACAAGAGTAAAAATAGAATCTGCTTAGAAGGATATAAACGCTCTCTTGGTAATAACAAATAATTCATAATCATCAGATAGGGAAATTAATTAATAAAATAACAATATTGCATCACAAGAAATGCACAATTTTACAGTCACTTACAAGTAATACCTGATTGCCATACTAAAAATGAATTGTTTTATAATCGATTATAAACAAGATATTGATTTGAAATACACTAAATTTAGAGAAAACATGATTGCAGTACTATATGTAGGTAAAATATTACTGTTTGATCATCATACAAAGTACAGTAGTGAAGCAGAAATATATAAAGATAGAGAAGAGGAAGATAGCGAGAGAGAGAGAGAGAGAAGTGGAGGGAAGAGTTAGAGAGAGGCAGAGAATAATTTGATGAAAAAAATCTATACATCATCAAAATACTAGTACAAGTTGATTGCATAACTGCTATTAAAGGTCATGTCTTTAAGCAAGGCATTTTATTGACATTGCTTCTCTCCACCCAGTCTTTAAACATGGAGTTTGCTCAGCATTGTTAGCATCTGTAAAATGGTGCCTGGCTGGCTGACCTAAGACCCAAGTGCAACCCTGACCTTTAACCTTTGGCAAAATAAATCCCTGAGGCTTACATGTAGGTCAAGTTGTTTTCAATGATGAAAAATATTATAATTTCAAATCACAGAGTATTATACAGTGGCTGGTGAAATTATACAGGAATGTTTTGAGAACCAACGATTGCTAAATTGGATTGTGACCACTAACGGTCGTTATTTTCCCACACAAAATAAGCCCTTTTGTTTCAAAGGAAGTTCTAAATTAGTATTACTGGAATAATTTTGGTGATTGGTGCACTTTCATTTAATACCAACAAATGTCATTGAGAAAACTCAAATTAAGACTTGTCATTGTCCGCTGATGTCACCAATAACCCTGTGTTCCGAACTGGTCTTTTCACGCCACTTTTAAGCTAGGTAAGCTATCTCACAGCGCTTCTACCTTCCTGGCGAAATCCCGGATATCTTGGGCCAGCAGGGCAGGGACCTGGAACGCTGGAAAGTGCCCTCCAGTGGTAAAGTATGAGAAGTGAAGGATTCTTGGATGGAATACTTTCATCAGCCAATCTGTTGTTCCAATGAACTCATAAGGGAAGCAGGCATAGCCGAACGGAACATGGGAGGCGTACCTGCAGGTGTTATAAAGACATTGTTTGTCATTGTCAATGCATGTTCGTTATTATGAAGACAGTTACAGTACTTGTAAAATGGCAAAATACTATGATAATGGCTAGAATAATAAGCAGATTTCAAAACTTAATTATCAAAAACGACACTTCACATGATGCTCAGATTGTAGTGCTCATTGTATATTACAGAATTTTCTTGAGTGTACTTTGATAGGGACAGCTCTGTTTTTATAAGGTTATCTTACATGTAGGTTTTGTTTTAATTATGATGGTAATCCTATCAGGCCGGCGTTTACATGTCACTGAATTGTATCAAACTCTTTTTCGTTGCAGGAGCAAGTTTTATCCAACCAGGCTGTCGGTCTGGTGGGTTGTTCAGACTTTTTGATAACATTTTTCCAGACTTGGTAACATTGCTCAGATGAGAAAGTGGTGCTAAGGTAGTGGCTTCAATGCTCAATGTACAATTAAAGATAATCTGAGTTTGAGTGAAAATGGACCATTATTAATGATCTAAATTCTGAAAAACTGATCTGATCGATTCCTTAATTCTCCCAACTATATCGTTACAATTTAATTACATTTTAGGTGAATGTCAATCGTCACAAAGCAATGAATTAGCTCTATATATCATTCCAGACATTTAGGTGTGAAAGATTCTTAAAAGCCTGTCTTGTGTCTTTTTTTTTCATGGATAAACGGTTGGGAAAATTCAAAAATGAGAGTTTACTGTTAATCACTGTTAAAGGGTGTTGCACAGTGAGACCTTCACAGAAAACCATAGATATCTTTGTGGTTTGAGAATTTATTTTCAGGTTTGTTTTGCATGTTAGAGGGTTAGTACAGTAGAAGGAATATAATAAGTAACATTTCATACAAAAATTTATGCAATTTTTCATCAACTTTCAACAATGTTACCGAGTCACTTTAAAGACCGTCAATACTACAGAGCTAAAAGGGATTAGACCACACAGCGAGGTCACTGACAGGTGGCTATCTCATTAACTCAGCTCTCAACTAACATAAGAAAAAGAGGATCATGGGGGACCAACAGGCACCGATTGGGGAAGTTTTCTATTTAGAGGGAGCAAGTAGCTACAAGTAGGACAGTGGGGCTTTAAAAGAGTCTTTCCAGACTTACATAGTGGGATATCCCTTGGCACTTGCACCAAACTCTTCTTTAAAGAGTCTCACTGAGGAGGCTACATTGCCATTAATCCAATAGATCATCACATTGGTTAAGAGATCATCCATACTGTAAGCTTGCGTCAGGCCACCATCCTCTAGCTTCTTCCAGTTTCGATTTGTCCAACTCGAGTATTTCTCTAGGATGAGAGAGGCTAGTCCCATAGGAGAGTCATTCAGAGCCATTGCTAGAGAGACAGTCAGAGAGAGAAATATAGAGCTTTATAATGATATCACTATGAACATTACGGACAAAGAAAGCGGACAAAATATACAGTTCCTCAGGTAGACATAGGAACATCCCTTCACTGCTATTATGTAAAATTTTGTCCACTTTCTTTGTCCGTCATATTCATAGTGGATGTTACAGGCATGCATGTTAGCTTCCCGATACCTATAGCCTTCAAATTCCCCACATCCATTCAACACCTTTTTGCAACCAAAATTAGAGTTTATTTTTAAAAGAGTCTCATACATTCAAGAATTTTAACTCTAAATTCCTTCTCCCTTCCAAAAAACTGAAGATCAACTTTAAAAATACTTGCATATACATTCAAAAAGTAGTATTATAAACTCCTTTTCACTGCAAAAAATAAATATGATCCTTACAAATAATTACATACATTACAGAAGTTTCACAGGGGCGTTGCTTCGAGAGGGGTGACAGGTTTGTCTATCAATTGATGAGTTCTTCCCCCCCCTTTATTTTCGGCTAGTTAGAAACAAATGCGAACATCTTTTGGCAAATTAGAAAATCTGACGACCTTCATTTTCCTTGTAAGCAAATTGGCCTGTCATCTCCTCCCCCATATTCAAAATGGTTTGGCAATTAATTGCCATGAATTTCATTCCACATTCCCTTTCGCTACCAAAAGGAAGATTATTCTTTAAATTTCTCACACGTGGTACATTCTACAACCTAACTCCTTTCGCTACCAAAAATGAAAATGATCTCTGAAAGTACTCACAGAGAGAATCTGGTTGCGTGCCGAAGACGTACATGTATCCCAATTCTGCGATCACAAAGCTTATTCTTTCTCCTAGGGGTAGGAGCGCATTTCTCTCTTCCTCCTTGGGTAAGAAAAACGATGGCCAGACACTGGCAACCATGGGGTACACAAAGGACTTAAGGCTCACCTGGGCCAGGTCGTTATTATGAAGTCCTTTCACATTACTAGAGAAAAGGAAAGAAAAATGAATCAAAACATAAACATACATGTAAAGGGGTGTTGAGACAAGTAAAAAAATATGGCACATTTTTAGAACTGTTTTCAACATTATACAAAATAGACTGCAGTTGTTTTCCTGCATCATCTCAGAATGAGGCTGAAAACATCACTAAAAGGTGACACTAAGCTGCTATATAGGTGCATGTTTGATAACCAGATACAGAGTTGTGATTTGATGATGGATCAAGTTTTGTTGGGACAGATTCAGAATGATTTTGCTTCATTCGTGTGCAGTCAGAGAACATGTTTGAGACGACAGTTTTGGACATGAACATTAAGCCTAAAAACCCCTAGCAGATCCAGAAAACTTGATATCAATAACAAATGCTAATTTATATGACAAGTTTGCTCTCAGCCAATCAAATTCCACGATCTGTAGCTTATAATGATTATTGTAATTTGTTCAACACAAATTGGTAACACTATGTGAAGTATCTTGCGAGCTCCTTTCTAATTTGCTCCAAACAGAGATGATGAAATATATTTGTTTCAAACAGGGGTTGTATAAAACCATATTTGCAATGGCAATATTTAGGGTGAAATATTTAGGGTGAATGTATGATTGAAGATTTTCTCAAGGGAAAAGATAAATTCATTATTCTATCTAGTACAGAGCAAATGGCCTGACCTGTTTCTGTCATTTTCTGCTTCTATCAAAAGCAACTTAATCTCAGGGTGGTCTTCCCCTTTAAGACAGGTTTGATTATAGTTCTTACTCTGGGTACATGATAGCCATGTTGACGGTGATTGCCGTTCCCACATCACCTGCCTGAGCATAGTATTGCTTGAATCCCAACCTGAGCATCAGTTTATTCAGGATGCGTGCTGCAGCAGCCGCTGTAAATCCTGCAATAACAAAATTTCATTTCAATTTCAATTTTAAAGTATGCAAGTAATTCCTGTTAATGAGTTCATTATAGAGTTCTTATGTATTAGGGCTGTATGCATCTATTGAACAAAGACTGACGGTGGCATAGGATAGGCGCATTAAGAAATAAGAATTAGAATAAAGAAGGGCATTAATTTCCATTCTGTTGAAATACAATAATATACTTGTGTTAACGAACAAATTGAATGTAATAGCTTGTTGTTAGATAAACGTGTACAAATTTGAGAGCATTTAGAAAATGGTGTTTAGGTGTATATTGTAAAAGTAGAAATATTTCTGGTACATTAATTTTCGCGGATTACGCGCTAAGATTGGCAAGCGCGATTTTTTGCAACTCTCAAAAATATAAGCATGACTTTTTATGCGTTTTTTGTACAGGCTGAATTGCGTGCAACACAAATTTAAGAACTAGCGAATATACATTTTGATCCTGCTTCTTTTTGCCTTTACTAGAAGTTACTAAATCTTAAATCAGACCCGCTCACTTTTTCTATGTGTAAATGGTGCTTCTGAGAAGCCAAAGCAAGGAATACTCGGATAGATGACCTCAGAGACATCATCAGATGACCCTCCATGGACAGACACACAGTCACACAGACAGATGGAGGGGTAGAGAGAGCAGCTATTCTTACCCTGTTTGTGAGGAGCTTCCGAAAAGCCAAAGCCAGGAATACTTGGACAGATGACCTCAAAGAAATCATCAGATGACCCTCCATGGCTCGTAGGGTCAGTCAGCATTGGTAGGATCTGGGAGAAAACAAAGGAATAAACGCTCCTTACATACCTGTATGCCGCAGTACACTGCTGAGGTTTATCGCTGGAATTTTTGTTTACTACACGTATGGCAAGTAAGGATGAAAAAAGTAGCTAGTCACATCAAAGACCCTAAGCTACATGCAATCACTTCTCTTCGTGTGTGCTAACATACAATTCTGATGAGCAATGTGTGTTAAATAAAATACTGCGGCATAAACCTCTAGAACCTTTAGACATTGCTTTATAATATATGTATACTTAATTTTCTGAAATCATGCCAGTTAATTGAACGTTAATTGCAACAGAGGGGGTGGGAGAGGGAGCGGGAGTGAAAGAAGGAGTGGGAAAAGGTGTGGGAGAGGGAGTGGGAGAGTGAGTGGGAATGGGAAAAGGAGAGGGGATGGGAGGGGGAGAGGGAGAGGGAGTAGGAGAGGGAGAGGGAGGGGGAGAGAGCTAGGGAGTGGGAGTGAAAGAGGGAGTGGGAGTGAAAGAGGGAGTGGGAGAGGGGATCGGAGAGGGGATGGAAGAGAGAGAGGGAAAGAGAGAGTGGAAGAGGGAGAGAGCTAGGGAGTGGAAGTGAAAGAGGGAGTGGGACAGGGAGTGGGAGAGGGAGAGGGAGTGGGAGAGGGGATGGGTGGGGGAGGGAGTGGGAGAGAGCTAGGGAGTGGGAGTGAAAGAGGGAGTTGAGAGGGAGTGGGAGAGAGGGAGAGGGAGTGGGAGAGGGGATTGGAGAGAGAGTGGGAGAGGGAGAGGGAGTGGGAGAGAAGGAGTGGGAGAGGGAGTGGGAGAGGGGATTGGAGAGGGAGTGGGAGAGGGAGAGGGAGTGGGAGAGGGAGTGGGAGAGATCTAGGAGCGGGAGTGAAAGAGGGAGTGGGAGAGAGGGAGAGAAAGAAGGAGAGGGAGTGGGAGTGGGAGAGGGAGTGGGAGAAGGAGTGGGAGAGGGAGAGAGTAAGTGGGAGTGGGATATGGGATGAGAGTGGGAGAAGGGGTGAGAGGAGAGTGGGAGAGGGAGTGGGAGAGGGGATTGGAGAGGGAGTGGGAGAGGGAGAGGGAGTGGGAGAGGGAGTGGGAGTGATCTAGGAGCGGGAGTGAAAGAGGGAGTGGGAGAGAGGGAGAGAAAGAAGGAGAGGGAGTGGGAGTGGGAGAGGGATGGGAGAAGGAGTGGGAGAGGGAGAGAGTAAGTGGGAGTGGGATATGGGATGGGAGTGGGAGAAGGGGTGAGAGGAGAGAGGGAGAGTGAGTGGGAGAGGGGATAAGAGTGGGAGAGGTGATGGGAGGAAGAGGGAGTATTAGGAGTGGGAGATGGGGTGGGAGGGGGAGAAGGAGTGAGAGTGGGAGAGGGGATTGGAGAGGGGTGGGAGGGGAGAGGGATTGGGAGTGGGAATGGGAGGGACGGGGAGAAGGAGTGGGAGAGGGATAGGGGAAGAGAGGGAAAGGGTGAGGGAATAGAGGGAGAGGGAGTGGGAGCAAGGGGAAGGGGGTGGGAGAGGGAGTGAAAAAAAGAGTGTGAGAGAGAATAGGAGAGGGAGAGGGGATTGGAGAGGGGATTGGAGAGGGGATTGGAGAGGGGATGGGAGGGGGAGAGAGAGTGAGATAGGGAGAGGAGGTGGAAGAGAGCTAGGGAGTGGGAGAGGGAGTGGGAGAGGGAGTGGGAGAGGGAGAGAGAGGGAAAGAGAGAGTGGAAGAGGGAGAGAGCTAGGGAGTGGAAGTGAAAGAGGGAGTGGGAGAGGGAGTGGGAGAGGGAGAGGGGATTGGAGAGAGTGAAAGAAGGAGTGGGAGAGGGAGTGGGAGAGAGCTAGGGAGTGGGAGTGAAAGAGGGAGTTGAGAGGGAGTGGGAGAGAGGGAGAGGGAGTGGGAGAGGGGATTGGAGAGAGAGTGGGAGAGGGAGAGGGAGTGGGAGAGAAGGAGAGGGAGAGGGAGTGAAAGAAGGAGAGGGAGAGGGAGAGGGAGAGGGAGTGGGAGTGGGAGTGGGAGAGGGAGTGGGAGAGGGAGAGGGAGTGGGAGAGATCTAGGAGCGGGAGTGAAAGAGGGAGTGGGAGAGAGGGGGAGAAGGAGTGAGAGTGGGAGAGGGGATTGGAGAGGGGTGGGAGGGGAGAGGGATTGGGAGTGGGAATGGGAGGGACGGGGAGAAGGAGTGGGAGAGGGATAGGGGAAGAGAGGGAAAGGGTGAGGGAATAGAGGGAGAGGGAGTGGGAGCAAGGGGAAGGGGGTGGGAGAGGGAGTGAAAAAAAGAGTGTGAGAGAGAATAGGAGAGGGAGAGGGGATTGGAGAGGGGATTGGAGAGGGGATTGGAGAGGGGATGGGAGGGGGAGAGAGAGTGAGATAGGGAGAGGAGGTGGAAGAGAGCTAGGGAGTGGGAGAGGGAGTGGGAGAGGGAGTGGGAGAGGGAGAGAGAGGGAAAGAGAGAGTGGAAGAGGGAGAGAGCTAGGGAGTGGAAGTGAAAGAGGGAGTGGGAGAGGGAGTGGGAGAGGGAGAGGGGATTGGAGAGAGTGAAAGAAGGAGTGGGAGAGGGAGTGGGAGAGAGCTAGGGAGTGGGAGTGAAAGAGGGAGTTGAGAGGGAGTGGGAGAGAGGGAGAGGGAGTGGGAGAGGGGATTGGAGAGAGAGTGGGAGAGGGAGAGGGAGTGGGAGAGAAGGAGAGGGAGAGGGAGTGAAAGAAGGAGAGGGAGAGGGAGAGGGAGAGGGAGTGGGAGTGGGAGTGGGAGAGGGAGTGGGAGAGGGAGAGGGAGTGGGAGAGATCTAGGAGCGGGAGTGAAAGAGGGAGTGGGAGAGAGGGAGAGAAAGAAGGAGAGGGAGTGGGAGTGGGAGAGGGAGTGGGAGAAGGAGTGGGAGAGGGAGAGAGTAAGTGGGAGTGGGATATGGGATGAGAGTGGGAGAAGGAGTGGGAGAGAGGGAGAGTGAGTGGGAGAGGAAGTGGGAGATGGGAGGGGAGAGGGAGTGGGAGTGGGAGTGGGTAGGAGGGGGAGAAGGAGTGGGAGTGGTAGAGGGAGTGGGAGCGAGGGAAAGGGGGTGGGAGAGGGGTGCAGGGAGGGGAGAAGGAGTGGGAGGGGGAGTGGGAGAGGGGATGGGAGGGGGAAAGGAACGAGGAGGGAGTGGGAGAGGTTCATTGTAGAGTGTTAAAAATACTTTTCTGTTAGCATGAGCTCTTTTAAGATTTTGTGTTGTCCTCACAACATTATGGATGTATTTCATTGTTTGTTACTTGTCCAGGAGCTTTTTATCAGTTAACTGCAGAGCCTTTTTGAAGCTTTTGAGAATACTAACAACAAGAATAACAATAATGATAAAAATTATCATCATAACAATCAGAAAAGTTCAAGAATAAAAGAACAACACCTATATTTCATAATATAATACTAATACTAAACTAATAAGTAAAAAGCACCCAATGGATGTTGCAGTCTCTTTGCCATGGTCTCAGCTCCAGAAATAAAAAAAATCCTGCCTTTCTGCATTCATACAAAACAAATTAATTATTAATATTGTGTTAAAGGTACTATGTCCCTTTTGCAGCCAACCTCAAATTCTGTAGAACTTTGCAGGAATTATGAATATCTGTCTTGTATGTCCTTTCTGTGAAAGTTAAACGTTGGCAGTGTCCTAATATTCAAATTATGCAAGGAAACCTGTTTACTTGCTAGGCTTCACTGTCGCCATGGTATGAGTCAGTAAGGCAGTCACAATACCTTATCTTCTATACCACCATGGACCTAATACAAACACACGTTTCACAGATAATAGAGTGAAGCCATTGAAAGAGGGGAGTGGTTTTATCAATATAGCGCCTGGCCCAATGTATGCAGATTCATGGGTGCATTGACCATGCCATAAGAGGCTCTATTTAGTTAGCAGTTTACAGTTGGCCTGTCTAATCCTTACAGTATACCATTCATTCACATATCAATTGGATCAAATCTAAATTCACCTGCTCTTCCTCTATCCTCTCCTACGGGCTTTCTTATGTATATAAGGTTCAATACAAAATAATAGATGATAACCTTGATTATCAGAAAAGCTAGAATGATCATAATCTTTTCATTTTTTTCTTGACCCACCTTATAGAATTCATAGACTGAACCTGGCCAGCCATGAACGATGATGAGAGGCTTAGCCTTCTGTCCAGGCTTTAGTTTGGGTTTCACGTGGAGGAAATGGACATCAATACCCTCAATGTTGGTCAGGAATTGATCAAACTGGTTTAGCCTCTTCTCAGCATCTCTCCAACTGAACAAAAAAGCACAGAATTCAAGAAAACCATATACAATGAAGCCTAAAATAATGATGACATTTAAATGTTAAAATGCCAAGAATTCATCATTTACATTTTGAAAGAAACTATGAGCAATTTGGAAAGGTTGATCATGTAGTACGTATGTGGAAGTGCTGTGGTCCTATTGATGCGTCATCGGATTGTGAATCACATGGTTCACAGCTCAAGTCCCACCACAACACAAGTTGTTTAGCAAGCCACTCATAAATGGCCGGGTACCTTGCAGAATTAATTCCTTCAAATGCTCAAGCACCATATAGTGGTAGCCATGCCTAAGCCCAGGTATAAATGTGGAGCGCCAGGAGTGTCAGGTCTGAGAACACATTCATACAAGAACCCACTAGGGTAGGCCTATACTTTTCTCTTTTTTGGGGGGGGGGGGGGGGGGAGGGGGGGGGGTTATACATTGGACCCCCTTTCTGTCTTGGCCCTACATTGTCCAATAAACATAAACAACAATTATGTCCTTTTTAAAGTAAGGAATGAGAAGGTATAGTTTATTCCTTTTACTAGGCAATTTTGACAAACTGAATTACTATAATTAAAGGGCAAGTCCACTCTGAAAATAACTCACTTTCAATAGAAGCAGAAAAATCAGACATACAATTCAAAACAAGTTTGAACAAAATCAGATAACTAATGAGAAAGTTTTTTTGAATGACATGAAAATAATTATAATATAGTCTAGACCTAGAGTAATTTTTTTTCAGTTAAATCATTAAAAACGTGAATTATGATGAACTAATAAAATATATAAAAATCGTTATCATTGTATTGGTTTTATTTTATTCGAAGATGAATAGAGTAAAGTACCCGGTTTTCGGCCACTTAAGACAAAATCCTATTTATTGGACTCTTTACTTCCTATTTATCATCATTTCTTGTTCAAATCATGAAGCAAATATTATTATTATTTAAACAAAAAAAGAATCCCAAAAAAAAATCACGAATTGCCATGACAATATTCATTTCAATTTTCACTGTTTTGGAGCCGGTTATCGGCCGAGCGTTTCAGTTTACGGCCGCATGTACAAAGTCAATAGGAAGCGCTCGCGCGCGCCGTGCGTTTCTGCGCTGATGTATAGCACACGCGGGCGGAGCAGGTATCCCACGCCGGAGCTCCCGGGTGCTCGCCTGGCCGAATACAGGCACAGCGGTGATCGGAAGTTGGAATCTGAATTAGACGGACATATCGTGTGTGCGTCGCGGTGTGCGGCTGCATTGATTTAATACATGCGATGAGATACTTTTGAGCTTGCGACCAGCACAAAATCGGGCTCTATATCTGGAAAATACTTGAAATAAAGCTCATTTTATGGTACCCATATTTCTTACATACACGCGTAAGAAACTCGATTTTTCAGATTTGGGTAGCGGGACCGCCGATTACATCGCTAAAATGTGATATTTTAGGATATATTTTTCATTGCAAATGTGGTTCTTCAGTGACACTGGCATGGTATGGTATGTGTGGGATATGTGTTATGCTATTATGCGATGTATTTTAAAGTGATTTTACCATGTATCCAACCAATTGGCCGAAAACCGGAGCTGACCGATTACCGGGTACTTTACTCTATGTTAATTTTGCATAAATCATAAATATACAAATTATACATTCATGAAATATATGGAATTTGCAAGCAGAAATAACGAAGCAAATGAGTAGAGTAGTCTGACTGAGCTGAGCTGAGTAGTTAGTAAATCTATTCATTCATAACAATTAAGAGGTTTCCTACCTGTAATTTTCCAGCCAGTACTGCTGTAAATGTCGCATATATCCAGCATTGAATCCATACTCAAATGCCGAGTTATCCAGCGGTTCTATGAGGCGAGCATTCCGAATTCGGAGATTCAAATCAGCTAACAAATCATTGGAAACATTCACCGTAAATTTCCGAAGGGAGGTGTCTTGCTCGAGCTTGCTCCCCGAGCTTTGGGGAGCACCGGGTGCCCACCAACCGTCACCAGCATCGGGCGTTTCAGTTTTCAGTGTCGGTGTCAAGATGAGAGAAAAGACATAACCCATTACCACTGCAAGTAGAAGAACAATAACAGCGAATTTCCACCCCATTGTGATAATTATAGCAGATAAGGAAGTGGTAGTTTTGTATCAGTTTTACGCAAGAAGAAGAACACCGACGATCTGAAACTGCACAGCTGACAACTGGAGAGTAAAGTTATGCAACATGTATGGGAGGAAATAGTGTCTTCAAATGGTCAAATCAAAAAGAAGAAAAAAATACAAATTTGCACTTCTCACGGCAGAACCAGATTTGAACGCTTCAATAACTGTCTTATGACGCAGTACTGCAGGAAAAACAAATCTGAATAATTGTTCTTTACTCTCTGCCGCATGCCAAAACTTATTTTATTTGACATAACCTCTTAAGTATTCAAACAAAATATGTATAAGTTTGAACGTCTTTTCTCCATAATTATGAAATCGTTATTTTGTTTAATTAAAAAGTCCCCTATTTCTCCTCATGATGATACATGTAGTTTCTGAACCGAAGATAAAGTATAGAATATAAGTCCCCATCATTTAACCCGAATTAATATTTATTTAATTATAAATATTGCTATAATGCAATTACTATATTACGTAATCTACTTGAGCCTTTGAGAAATGTAAGCAAAACTGTTGTCCTTGTTTGAATGCACGCTGGATTAATAAGTTAATGAATGAATGAATCGGCCTTACTGCTTAAGATTGAATTAGGGCTCAAACTGATAATAACGGAGGGCTTGTGTTTTCCACATAATAAGGCGGGGTTGATGGATGAGGAGCGGGGGGGGGGGGGGGCCGGGCTGGGAGCTGAGGTAGATAAAGGAACATCCCTTCACTGCTATTATGTACAAATGTGTAGAACAGGTGTCACATGCATATTCACCTTTTTACATAATAGCAGTGAAGCGATGTTCCTTTGTCTACCTGAGGAAATGTTTATTTTTTATTTTTATTTTATGCGGACACTTTTTTTGTTTTTGTTTGGTCTCGAAATTTGAAAATTTGACATTTTTTTTGGTTGGGGGGGGGGTTAGGTCACTTTCTGTTAGCCGTGAGCATAATTTTTTTTTTTTTTTTTAGTTTTGGTAGGGGGGTTTACACACATAAAAATACCAAAGGGGGGGGGGGGGGTTTGAACCCCCAACCCCCCCCCCCCCCCCCTGTGTACGCCCCTGCGTCAAGGACATTGATGAAAATTAAAATCACATAAATTATCCTATACAGCCCAAACAAATACAAAACGAAAACGAAAGTATGTCTTCGTTTTGCATTTCAATAACCTTTCTCATTTGTGTTTGTTCAAGCTGAACACAATATAGCTAATATTAATGCCCTGCCTCCTCCTTTTTAAAAAAAATGCCGGGCGAGAAATACATTACTTTTGTTATTTGGCCTCAGCTAATAAAATGACATAGCTACAGGGAGGCACCGGAGGAGGCGTGCACCTTCCCCCCCCCCCCATCATTATTGGCAAAGAGGGGGGGGGGGGGGTGTTAGGGGAAACATAATAAGGGAAAAGAGGACAAGAATAGATGACGGGACTCTTCCTATACGCTATTGATACATCAGTGCCCCCATGATGCACACCCACCCCCCCCCCCCCCATAGCTGAACCCACGCTAAGCCGTTGCAGCCGTATGTATCATAAATATGACCACCAGGAAGTTAAAATTCAAATAATGATACCAATTGCCAAATTGATTTGATTCATTGAGCGTGTAGAATGACGTGGTTCTTTCATGTCAGGTTAGAAATTAATTGCTTTTATTTGATATCAATGATATTGCTTCCTTGATACTGAACGTCGTAACATTAGTCGATAACCTTATAAACGACCACAGCCGTTCATCTTCTAATCTCTTCCTACCACACGTATATTATAATCATAACCACCACCATGGTCGATACTATGATCAATGATCACGACATGACGTCCGATATGCTTGCATCCCCTACTCCATACGATCGGTTTGTTGGTCTGAGGATCGACCACCAGCCGACATCGGGTGTAGCCATCATCGAGGGTTTCACGATGGTCGTCATCTCCCTCGGGGCGTTGACCGTTAATCTTATCGCGTTGGTGACGATCCTTCGAGACAAGAAGTTGAGAAGGAATGTTCATAACTGGCTGATCATCAACCTGATCATAAACGATCTCGGTATTACGATCACCAGTATGTCATTCTCTATCGTATCTGTGTTCGACCAAGGTTACTTTCTCGTTCACAACGATGCTATGTGTTTGGTGAGTATAAATCTTTTCTGAAACACTAGGGGAGAGCCCGTCTTCTTTTTTAAAACAAATAAAGGTAAAATTAACAAATTAACGTTTTTACCTGTTTTTCCCCAGGGAAGGGGCCGCCCCCTTCCACCTAGATCCGCCACTGATTACAGAGAGGAATGAGAACATCTATAGAACCAAGGAGGATGATTTTGTTATGTGGTGCAGACAAATGTCACTGATCCTTAATATTAAGAAAACGAAAGAAATTATTGTGCATTTCAGAAAAAAGGAAAATGTTATTTTGCCGTTGGCTATTGATCAAGATGATATCGAGATGGTTTCGAACTATAAATAACTAGGAACCCACATTGACAATGATTTTAGCAGGAATGCTAATGCTCAAACCATTGTGCCAAGAGTAAACCAAAGGTTATATCTCCTAAGGAAATCGAAAACATTCAATATCAGAAAGGATACTCCTCTCTTCTTCTATGATAGCATCATCAAAACAATAAGCGAGTTTGTAATTAGGATATGCGCATGGGCAGATCAAGGTCATTCGTACCCAAATTGTCAAAACCATTGAGACAAATACTTGAATAGTGCTCATCATGAAAGTTATGTAATCAGTATTCATCTATGCACCAACAGTACATTTATCTGATACACTGATGGAAGTATTCTTCTCGCAGTACAGTCAAACATACAGGGTGGCGCTTCAACTAATATTTTTTTCGTTTTGGCACTTCTAATAAACTAGTTGAGAAGGCCTGTTCTAGAGTCTATCGTTCAGGGCTTTGTGTTTTATGTGCTCGGGGAATGCGGATGTACATGTCACATTCTCTCTCTTTTCTCTGTTTATGTTCCCTCTTTCTGTTTTCACCCAATATATGGTTTACTTCTCTTTCTCTATTTCTCTTCCTCTATCTCTCCGGTACTTCTGTTGTTGTAAGTTTTTCTTCTCCTAGTCATGCACATATATTCCTGTTAATATTAGGCCTACACCATTTTGTACTCATGTTCAATTGTGAGTTGTATTTATTCCTGATTTTGTATAAATTGACAGCCGCGTTAGGCCATTAAAAAATATACATGTTTAGCGTCCCCGTCCGCTTCCTTTTTGGGGGCCGCCTCCTTTTTTTTCTTTTCTTTTTCTTTTTTTAAAGAAAAAGACATGAAAAACACTGCTGAAATGGATTTATTTCTGATTGAAAAAAAAAAAATTAAATGCCGGCGGCCATCTTGAAAAATAGCCCGACTACCAGGGAAAATGTAGGCCAACCGAGCGGCCATTTTGAGCGGCAATTTTAAAGAAGAAAAAAAGGGCCTCCTCCTTCCTATTTTTCAAAAAGGCAGGACGCTAAACATTAAAAAAAAATTATTTGGCCTAGTTGGTTGATGTTATATTATATTCTTGATATCAAATGCAGATCACTCATGTTTTTCTATCTTACGCATGTTTCAACTTTTTCGACAAGGCATGGGTGTCAATCATGGGATGGACAGGGGGACATGCCCCCCCCCCAGAAAAAATTCAAAGTTGGTGGTGGATACAATATCAAATCTCCCCCCCCCCCCTGTTTTTGACCTCCTTTATCATGAAGCTCAAGTATTGCACTGTGTAAGACCAAACCCTGTGTCACACCTTTATTTTGTTTCGTAAATGCGAGGGCAAGTCTTATTACTTTTTTTTCCCCATATTTTTTCCCTCCACAGGGATTTTATTGATTTTCATTTGAACATAAATAAAATTAGCTTTTCAAGATACAAGTATTGATGAACTGTTAACAGTTAACAGAAAACTAAAAGAATCAATAATTCATTTCTGACACTCATGGAAAGAAAAACAAATACAGAAAAAATATCATTTTAAGTAAAAAAAAATCCTGAGTTGAAACAATCTTCTTGTGAATTAATTATTTCTACAATTTGAATTTGCAATATACTTTTCTTTTTTGAAGTAATTTATGATCGAAACTCTAATATTATCAAAGTCGGGCAATTGTTTCTTTATTTTGCAAGAATACACCATCTGTCGCACCACAATCAGTATACAATTCAATGCATAATTATTTGAACCTTTTAAACCAAATAATTTATCTTGTAATGAAAATGTTAATTTATTTCCGGTTCCAGTATTAATTCAGTGCTCTAACCTACCCCAAATGTTTAACATGCGTACAATCACATAGCAGATGTATAACTGTTTCAATCTGTTCATTACAAAATGTACATTCTTTTCTTGGGACTAAATTCATTTTGAACAGTAGATCGTTCGTACATGTATATAATATGCGTTGCAAAACTTTAAACTGAAACCATCGTAAGCCCACATCAATGGTACAATTAAATCCAATAGAACAATATGTTTCCCAACTCTTATCATTCAGGTCGAAAATACATTTCCATTTGAGAAAACTTTTACATAGTTCTTTTCTTCTCTTTAATAAAATTGCATAGATATGTGAACATCCTTTAATACGTTTCATAACAAATGCCATTGTATCTGGGAAAAGAGGTTGTGGCACCTTGTTAAAAATAGTACAATTGTTAAACCCTTGTCTCATTGCATCGCATAATCCACGATAAAAAAGAAAATTTATTTCAATATTATACTCTTCTTGGAAGTGTTCCAGAGAGAAAAAAAATTACTATTTGTGTCTAAAATATCATTGACAAAACGAACTCCCTTTTGACACAATTTGTATTATATATTGAGCTATTGCCTATTTTAATGTAATCATTATTCCATGAGGGTTGGCAAGAAATGTTTTCATAATGCATGGACAAGAGCGTACTATAAGCCATGAACATTTCTTTCCAAAAAAGATTCTTTATTTTACCTGCCAGTTCCCGAAAATAATTATTTCCCATATATAATTTTTAATCTTGCAGTTTAGGCAAGAAAGATTGCAAAAGACAGAGTATATTGCTATCTATTGAACCAATTACTAATCTCTTAATCCAGGAAATGTTTAATGATTGGCAATGTGTGTATATATCTATCATTTTAACCCCTCCGTCTGAGTAACTTTGTGACATTTGATTTCTACTTATTTTATCAGGTTTCTCCCCCCATATAAATCTATAAAAGTGAGCATTTATATCTTTCAAAAGATTTTCACCAGGATAAGGGAGGGACAAAAAAGGTAGTTTAATTTGGATACCAATAATAACTTGACGACAGTGATTCTTCCAAGAGCAGTTAAGTATCGCCTTAACCACGATGTCATTTGACTTTTGATTTCTTTAAATTTTTCATTATAATTGTGAATTACCAATTTGGGCAAATCCGTACAAAAGTCTATACCTAAATATCTGAAATAATCATCAAACACCCAATTTAGATTTCTATTCAAAAGAACACCATCTTTCTTGTTTTTAAATCCTCCAATCCAAATCGCGTGTGTCTTCTGTATATTAACTTTTAAACAAGACATTGCATTATATTGATCTAAAATGTTTAATGCACTGTTTAATTCCATTACTGACCCGTTCAATGTTAGAAGAGTATCATCTGCATATCGAATTATTTTAAGTTGTCTACCAGGTAAGCTCAAACCAACAATGGAATCGGAATTTCTAAACAAAAGACCTAGTATTTCGGTGCATAATAGAAAGATAAGAGCTGACATGGGATCTCCTTGACGACAACCTCGCTCTATTGAAAATCTTGGAGACAGGTGTCCATTGATTAATACACAGGATTGAGCATTTTCATAGAATACATTAACCCATTTTACAATAGAGGGACCAAACTTAAAAAAGTGCAATACTTTTCTAATAAAATCATGAGAAATAGAATCAAATGCTTTTTCAAAATCTATAAGCAGCAATAAACCAGGAATGTCATTGATATCAGCATACGATAATAAATCATATAACAAACGGATATTCTCTCCAATGAAGCGCCCTGACATAAAGCCTTTCTGATTTTCATGTATAAGAAAAGGAAGTACGTTCTTTAATCTGTTTGCTATACAAGCGGAACCTAATTTATACACCACGTTCAATAAAGATATGGGTCTCCAATTTTTCAAATAATGTCTATCTTTTTTTCCTTTGGGAATTAAAGAGTCTTATTACTTGTTGGGTTATAAATAAAGCGTATTTGAACTCCACCTGCAGGACCAGACGGTCTGAGAAGCTAACAATGCAATTCGGGCAATTTGGTAATATTTACTTTTAGTTCTCATTGTACTAAAAACTAATCAGATATAAAGGCTAAGTCCACTCCAAAAATAACTTGCTCTCAATAGATGCAGGAAAACAGAAGAAACAGAGCAACAAATGTCAGAGGAAAATCGGATCACTAATAAGGAAGTTATGAATTTTTTTACAAGGTATGAAAAACTATGGAACAATGAAAATCACTACAAAAATTGCTGAATTGGTTATCAGTGTGTGACGTCTTTGCCTCACTATATATCAATAGTGCTCTACATATTTTAATCCCATTAAATTCCTTTGTTATCCCCAAGAACTTGATTTCCTCATGCTTTTGCCCAGGTTATATGGTTCGTTTCATACTGCATGCATGACATTTCACAATCTTTTATAAACTTTTTTTCAACGATGGGGGACACAAGATAAAATGCCCCCCCCCCCCTCAGAAACGGAAAATATGATTTAAATTCTCTATTTATTAATAATTTTACTTGTTTTTAGCCTCAACAACTGAAAATATTGCACATGGTTTTGAAGCACATGGCATTTTGTTCATATGGTAATTAATAGGTATTCATGAATATGGTAATTAGCAACTGACTTAATGAAAAACATCATATCTAGATTAGGTGTATATTTGGGATCTTTTTCCTGTATTTTTTCCAGCATTTCACAATAACAGACATAGACAAACACACGAACAATCATTAATTCAGAGATGTATGGTGGTGTAGTGGCTCATTTACTTGGCTTTCAATCAGGAGGTTGAAAGTTCGAATCCCAGCCCGACACTAACGTCTCTTGGCAAGACACTAATCCACATTATTTTGCCAGATCGGTACCAAATCGCTCCAAAAAAAAAAAAAAAAATTGAAATTGTTTTTATTACAATCATTATACACCTCATTGAATGATATGCCGTTGTTGCTTTTGCTTAATACCGCTCGCTGACTCAAGATGTAATTTGATATATTATATTGTTCCTTCTCATGCTTATCTCCTTTCTAACGCGCATTTCTCTTTCCTTATCTTCTTCTCAACCCCACATGCAGCTCATCATTTAGTATTATTTTCTGTACCCTCGATCTCTCACTTCTTTTTGTCATTGTCTACTCTTTGTATTATGACCGTGTTCTTCTATCTTTGTCGTGTTAAGTATTGTCTTGTCCCTTTCTCGTCTCTGTTGGCATCCCCCTTTTCTTTCCCCCATTTTGTAGTTCCTTTTGTAGTTACAGATTAGTTAATTTAATTACTCATTACTCATTATTCCTAAGTTTCATTTGAGGTGTTCACACTAGTCTTGTACAAGCATTGCTTTTTAGTGGAGCCCTCGGTTTCCAACATGAATTTCTTAAATTTGTTTTAAATGCTTATAATTGATTTGTAATGTTTTGTTGGAAACATGAATAAATTTGAAATTGAAATTGAAATTGAAATAATTATTTGGCTGCTCAGCTACGACCGGATAAATTGTTGGAGTGTCAGGAGTGTCACTATTATTATCATTATTATTATTCTCTTCTACAGATCAACGGGATAGGTGCAACAGCTTTTGCCTTTGGTAACTTTGCCACAGTCATGGCTATCTCTTTGGACCGTTACCTGACCGTTGTCTGGTCCAACCGCTTCCCTCCTTCAAAGCGTCGCATCATCATGTTTATCATTCTATCCTGGACATTTCCCATTGCCAACACCATTCCTCCTTCCTTCGAGTTAATCTCTGATTTCAGGTATCATTCTCTTACTCATCACTGTACACCGGTCTGGGAGGTTTGTCTCTATTACATCATCTGTAACATCATCCTCTTTGGTATCACTGTTCCTGTAATGGTCTTCTGTTATATCGGAGTCTTCTGGACCCTGAGACGTCAACAGCAGGTGCTTCGATCTTACACCGACGAGAATGTCGACGATAGCGAGAAATGCAATGACAGCCATCAGGTGAACAATCCAAATATGTCATTGGATAACCTTTCAGGCCAGGGAGGTAATGTTTCTGAGACCATGGAAGAGTTCTCATCGTCAAACCTGGATGACCCTGTAGGACATGGGTCGGAGAAAGGCAAGGCCAATCAGCAAGAGAGGGTGAAGAAGGGGCAGAAGAAGCAGACCGCCGAGCGCAGATCCCTGCAAAACAAACTCACCACTGACAAAAGAATCGCGTTGACAGGTAATTCTTGGTGCTGATGTCTCTCACTTCATCATTTCCCTTGTTCTCATTCCCGGGGATGTCGCTTTAGAGCGGGGTGGGGTGGGGTGGGTTGTAACACCCCGGATTAAAACGAAATTTGTATTGCCTATTAGCAAATTGCAAAAAATTATCGTAGAAAAAAAGAATTTGGAATGTAATAGTCATATAACTGGTACGAAACCTCCATTACAGATAATCTGGAATTTTAAAATATATTTCAATAATGAGTATAACATGTAACCCCCCCCCCCCCCAATCGCTCTCGCACTCCCATCAGTCAAACAAAATCTGCAACATAACATTGTGTACACAAAGGCAAATTAATACAAACCTATATTTATAAAAAGCCTCGCTATTGCTTTTAATCAATCAAATCAATTGTTTTAATGCTCTTTTTTCCTCCAGGTATCCTGTTGGTGATGACTACCGTGATCTGTTGGGCGCCTTATTCCATCGTACATTCCTGCTTCATACCTATCAACGCGACTCATGCGTTGGGTGTGTTTACTATGTGGCTCGGTTATACCAACGCTCTGCTTGATCCCATCATCTATTCTTTCATGAATAGACGAGTTAGAGCTCGATACCGTGCGATGATGACGAGCTTGAGAATGACTGTATGTAAGACTTAGTGAGCTAATAGTTGTGTTCACACAAAATCGTCGCTACTAACGACGACGAGCTTTCACACGGAACAGAAACGACGATCATTCAAAGTTTTATACTACAAACTGGGGAAGCATCTATTTTAACTACATGTTCTCGTAAGCGTCCGCGCGGCACATAACTTTAAGTGAGGACGCCCCCCTGCTTCTGGCTGTTGCACTAATAAGAAGATCGCTTTTGGTTGATAATTAAACTGCGAGTAAACTTCATGTTTCATAACCACGAGTAAACACTGTACAATTACAAGATAACTTCGAGGTTTTTAGCCCCTACCTAAAGTTAAAGTTTACTGACTGCCATGTGAACCTCACAATCTGGAGGGTTTCATGTCATTTTGTCCAATGTGAATCTAGTCCATTATTTATATTTTCTTTTATCTCTGTTTCATACTGCAGCTCTGCTACAACCATGGTAAACAAATATACGATGCACTAAAGCAGGGCTCCCACTTAGCCGAGTTGTATTGGCGAGTTTTGGCGAGTTGTGATGAGTTGCCACAAAGAGGCACTCGCAATACTCGCGAATTAGCTCTTATTGTAACTCAGGATAACTTGCGACAACTCGGGATGGCTTGGCGTAACTTTTTACAACATTCCACGGCTCTCCTCGAAGTCACGAGCAGTTCCAAAATGTTGAACATGCTCAAAATTTTCACTGACTCGTTGTGACTCGAGATGAATTCGCTTACACTCGTAATATACTCTGCAAGCTGTTATGTAATTATGGTCTATTAAATGTATAGGTCTTTTTTTCTTTTCATTCTAGCTTAGATATTTTTGTTGTAATGTTCGTGTTAGCTTTTCTTCTGTAAAGTAATTAAGGAGTGGGTTCTGCAGTCAGTTGTTGTTTTTACATGTATTTATATGTGTTTTCATTACCTTTTAATTTTTGTAGTATATTTCTTATATTTACTCATAATCATGTATTGTGTGTGTGTGTGTGTGTGTGTGTGTGTGTTTGTGTGTGAATGTCTGTTTGTATTTTGTTATGTATGCAAGTATGTATGCCATCCTGGGTAGTCATTTCCAAGATTAATATGTGTATAGAGTTTATTGTGCCATTAATTTTCTTAATTGTAAATTGTTGAAGAAGATGTAAACATAATGCTTAGAGATTGTGCATATGCTGATTGTGGTGCATTTGACCAGAATCTACAAGGAAATTTCGATCTTTTGCATGTAAATGCCAGGAGTTTATGTAAGAATTATGATGAGATGTTACAATTGTTGTCTTGCTTAAAGCATGACTTTTCTGTGACAGGTGTCTCTGAAACTTGGTTTAAAACTTCAACTGATGTCAATATGTTTCAGATACCTGGCTATTCTTTTGTTCACATTATGTAGGGCAGACAAAAATGGCGGTGGGGCATGTCTGTACATTAAAGATGATTTGGAATTTAAATTCCGTTTTGATTTATCTGGATCCAATTCAGGGTATGAAATTGTTTTTGTTGAAATAACAAACCTCAGTAAAAAGATTATTGTTGGATGTGTATATAGGGCTCCAAGCTATGATAGCGTATCCTTTGTGGAAAACTTAGAACATCAGCTACAGATATTGAGTAGAGAAAACAAGGAAATATATTTAATGGGTGACTTCAACATCAATTTAATGAATTATGATACTGATCGTAGTGTTAAAGATTTTGTAGATTTCATGTACTCATTTGGATTATTTTCTCTCATCACTAAACCTACCCGTATTACTGAAATTAGTGCAACATTGATTGACACTATTTTCACAAACTGCATTCAAAATGAGTTTAGCTCGGGTATAATATGTTCAGATATTTCAGATCATATGCCTATATTTTGTGTTAAAAAGGGCTCTGTGGTAACTTCTGTCAAGAGAGATGGACAAGTTATGAGGCGGTCAATAAATGATGAAAGAATCTCAAGGTTCAATCAACACTTAGCTGAAATTAATTGGCAGGCTCTGCCTTCACTGGAAGGCGTCAATGAGTCATATGAACATTTTCTACAAATATTTCTGGAATTATATAATTTATGTTTCCCATTAATTGAAGTATCGATAAAAAGTAAATGTAAAAAGCCATGGGTAACTCGTGGTTTATTGAAAACAATAAATCATAAACATAAGCTTTATGGTAGTTATGTCAAGAGACCAACAGCTGAGAATAAAAAGAAATATATCGATTATAAGAATGTCTTGGTAAATACTCTTCGTATAGCCAAGCAAAAATATTACAATGATTTGTTCCACAGTGTTAAAGGTGATATTAGGAAAACGTGGTCTCATATTAATAAATTGTTAGGTCGGTCAACTAGGCATTCACTCCCTCAAGAGATGGATTTTAATGGAGTACTTCTTTCTTCTGCCAAGGATGAGGCTGAAAGTTTTAATAAATATTTCATTGGATTACCCATGAAAATCAGTGCAGACATTCCTCAAGTACCACAATCTTTTCAAGATTATATGAAACAGTGTGATGATAATGCGTCAATGTTTCTAAAAACCAACTTCAAAATCTGAGATCATCGATATTGTGTCGTCTTTGAAACCATCTAAATCTAGTGGTTCTGATGATATTTCACCTAGAATTATAAAGGAGTGCATTCACCTTTTTATTGATCCCTTGTGTAAAATCATGAATATGTCTTTATCTCAGGGAGTTGTTCCTGATAAACTCAAGGTAGCTAAAGTAGTACCAGTGTATAACAAATCTGACCGTAAAAAACGTCATTAATTACAGGCCAATAGCATTGTTACCAATCTTTTCTAAAATTCTTGAGAAAATAATTTATAAACGCTTAAATAAGTTTCTATCTAAAAAGAATATCTTGATTCCTCAGCAGTGTGGTTTTCGTAAGCACTTCTCCGCAAAAATGGGTGTGTTTAATTTATTAAGTAATATCATAAAAACTATTGATGGAGACAAGTATTGTTTGGGGATATTCTTAGATCTATCTAAGGCGTTTGATACTATTGATCATGGCATCCTTTTCAGGAAACTTGAGCATTATGGAATACGTGGTGTAGCATTGTCTTGGTTCCAAAGCTATTTGTTTGACAGGACACAATTTGTTGTGGTGAATGGTACTAATTCTCAACTTGCTTCTATTAAATATTGTGTACCTCAGGGTTCTGTTCTTGGTCCCCTGTTGTTTCTGATCTATATAAATTATATAATACACTCATCAACATTATTCTCATACTCACTTTTTGCTGATGATACCAGCTTGCTGTTGGCTGATAAGAAGGCTGAAGATTTATTACTAATTGCGAATCAAGAGATTCAGAAACTGTATGCATGGTATTGTTGTAATAAGTTATTGTTGAATGTTCAAAAGACCAAATGTGTTATTTGTCGCTCCAAGGGTAAAAAGCTTCCAGATGGCATTACTTTTCTTAATGTTGGAGGCCATGATGTTGCGCTTAGTGAAAATGTTCAGTTCTTAGGGTTAACCATGGATGAGCATTTATCTTGGAGAAATCATTTAGATGCTGTATGCACAAAGTTGTCCCGTAGTGTAGGTGTCATTTTTAGATTAAAATTTATTTTACCTGAAAGAGTGCTTATAACATTATATAATAGTATTATTCTTCCTTATTTGACATATTGTAATGTTGCTTGGGGAAACACTTTTAAGTCATATCTTGATAAGTTGAGAGTATGGCAGAAGAAAGCAATACGGCTTATTACTAATTCTTATTATAGACATCCAAGTTCTCCATTGTTCCTTCGACTAAGAACGTTACCACTAAGTGGACTTGTGTCGTTCAATTGCATATTGTTTATGTTTAATCTTAAGTCTATGCCTCATGAATGTACGTTAAAAGATTTATTCCGTCAGAACTCGCAAATTCATAATTATAATACACGTCAAAGGTGTCTTATTCGACAGCCTTTTGCAAGAACAAATGTCACTCTGACTTCTTTCCATATCTCTTGCATTAAAGAATGGAACAGTCTGCCTGATGATATCAAAAATAGTACAACTCTTTAGAAGTTTATCTAAAACGTAGCTGCTTGAAAGACTGACATAGTTTTTATTCGCATCTTAGTAATTTCTTATTCTGAAATGCTTTTTGACCACTAAGGACCTACTCGTCAGTGTGTTTGCTGTGTATGGGTGTGTGCGTGTGTGTGTGCGTGTGTGCGTGTGCGTGTGTGTGTATGTGTGTGTGCGAGTGTGTGTGTGTGTGTGTGTGTGTGAGAGTATTTGTATGTTCTATATTCTGTAGCTTAGTATTTTCATCCATGGTATAATCATACGTAACATTCTTTTTACTGTAAATGTATGTATTTTGTTATAGGGCCCCGCTCACTCAAAACCGTTCAGTTTATGATGTAATCAAGTTAGAATATGTTGATTGATGTACTATTACCAGTCTCTCTTTTTATGTAACAGATTATATCATGCTTTGTATGGTTTTGAATGAAATGAACTCAACTCTCATTACTCGTAACAAGCTTGTACTGCACTCTTCATAACTCGTAGCAAGTCGCCACCTTTAGTATCCGTGAGTGCCATTCGAGTTTCCAAGAGTGGAGTACGAGCACGACGATCGTGCTGCGAGTCATGCCGAGTTGCCTACGCTATTAACGCGAGTTTAGATCGAGTACGGGGACTTCAGGCAAGTTTCGTATGAGCATGAGCAGAGCGCAGGGCGAGCATAACGAGCATGACGAGCGCACCATGATACGTCAGCTGGCCTACATTGTGCAGAGGATCAAGGCCTGTTCTTCCTTCAACATATCGAGCAAATATGCTTCTGGCATCCATCTTTATTTTGGAGAGCGCCAAAATCAGAGGCAGCCCTCTCCAGAGGGCAGGGGAGCAGGGGGGCATAGTGCCCCACCTTTTAATCTTCTTTCCACTCGAAACGTGCCCCTTTTTACGTAGGAAAATTGGGGGGTGGGGGGGGGGGGGGTAGTGAGCACTATTTTGAAAATCGCGCCGGTCGAAAAAATTCGTTCAGTGGGGGGGGGGGGGGGGATAGGGGGAGGGGGTAGTGAGCACTTTTATTTTTTTTGG